CAGGGAGAGGGGAGAAAGAGAGAAAACAGTATAGGTTCTAAAACTCATCACTGCTGGGGACTTGTCTTGAAAAAGAGTGCTTTTCCCTAACACACGTCAACGTCTTCCTCTGGCTCCCATCTAAGACGCATGAGGGGAGTTCGTTTTTTACAATATAACACACGGGACTACATAAGGGACCCGCAGGCTGGGAGTCCTGCAGGCGCCAGCCCCGCGCGCGCTCTGCCTTAGATCAAAGCTGTGTCAAGCAGCACAGCCCTGGGAGATAAGAATCTGAGGTCCCTGCGATCGCAGCGTTGAGATTTTCCACTAAAAATATTTACCAAATTTTGAGAAAATCTGCTTCATGCATTGAAGGGAACAGGATGAGGTTTGGTTCTGAACTGTTGAGAAAAGCTGAACAAATATTTACTACGAGCCACTGGTGGCCGGTGTGTTTTCCTGCCCTGTGAGGTGTGTGAGGTGGGCAGGGGGCTGTTGAACCCGATGGCTTCGGCCTCATCTTGCCATTAAAAGAAGAAGAAACGGGGGAGAAGGTGCCGTGCTTTGGGGTCCTCAAAAGGCAAATATCATTTGAAGTGAGAAATAACAATTTTCTAGAGGTTACCACAAAAGGCTCCCATGACATTTACATAAAACCTTCCAGGCAAGGGTTGCTCCAGCCCTGGAAGAAAAAAAAGGGTGTGCGTGTGCACACGTGTGTGTGTGTGTGTGTGTAGGGTGTGGTATGTGATCTGGAAATGAATTTACAAATCACAAGCCAGTCTTTGTGACAAAAATAATACAGACTGGCAGGTGTCACAATTCTGCCTTATTTGAAAAATCGCATTTGTTCTCTGGCGGGCACCTTTGACATAACCTGCGTGAATACCCCTGGGTGTCAGCCCCATCCTCTGGGGGGATTTCCAGGGAGAGATGCTATCTATGCATGAGCCAGGCACGGGGAACCCTGATGGAGCAAGGGAGCCCAGCTTTGTTCCTCCCTACGGAGACTGCCAATGTCACAGATGCCACCTCTGCAAAGGGTGGAAGGGCACCTTGCCCACATGTAACAAGATCCCTGAGTGCCGTGCAGCGAGTCTGAGAGCTGGTTAGGGGTCGTGCATGGAAGGACCCAAAAGAGCCCCTGGGAGGGAGGAAGTGAGGCGCAGAGCCCACGAGGAGCTCCCATGGTGGGGGACACTTGGGAAGGCATCAGGTCTGGGGAGGGGCTGCCACTTTTGCTCTCTTTATGGTCAGATCCCCCGTTGCCCGAGTGCATGTGCTATTTTGCAGTTAGCAGTGGCAGGCAAGGGGTGCTGACTTGGGGCTTTGAATGGGAGAAATGAAAGATGAGGGGCCATATTCACCCCGCCAGAAAAGCAGGGAGGTGGTGCCCAGAGCCGCAACCGGAGCCCCCTTCTGAGGCATCTGCCCCGGCCCTCACCTCCCTCAGGTGGAGCCTCCGCCAAGCAAGGGGTTGAGGTGTCCTGAAGGCAGGTATACCCGATGTCCCCAGGGCGACGGCTCCCATCTGTTCACACCTATACTCAGATGCTGGGGTGGGAGCCCAACCCCTCTAGGCTTGCACCCCACCCCACAGCCCCCCAGGCCCCAGCATTTGCACCCCACTGAACGCCAGATGATAATCAAGTCACACAACACTCCCTGGATCCGCCTCTGGGTACAGTGTGCCCAGGTAGGCAAATGCTTCTATTTTCAAACTCAGTGGTCTTTACAGAACAGAAAGTGCTCCAAACGGCAATCTGCCTGCAGTCAGTTCAAACATACAAGGCTGACATTCCTCCCTCTCAGAATGGGACCGTTCCTTGGCACTGACAGCGGGTCTCACCCAGCCCTAGGACAGACTTTCCAGAGGGCTCAGAGGGAAGCTCCGAAGCTTCCTTGACCACAGCAGTGCTGGGGGATGGGGGCGTGGGCAGGAAAGAGGGACTCCGCCTGGTTGGTCGTTTTAGGCTCCTTGGGACCCCCTCCCCACCCTGGCTGGCGGGCAAGTGCCAGAATTTTCCAGGCCCCTTGAGATGGTGGAACCACTTGTCCCATTGTAGAACTTCACATGTACCCACCGGATTATCTCTCTGAGATCATCGTGGGAACGGAATTAAAGTAGTTAAGTTCAAGGCTGAGGTGCTAACCGCAGGGTTCAAATGGAAATGCCATTTTTAAAGTGGATCTTGTGCAATCAACAAAAGGTTTTGGGACCCACATGGGCACATGACGGGGAGAGGTCACTGAGCCCTGGTTTCGATGTTGGCCTGGCGTTTCAGAGGCGCGGGAGAGCTGGCAGCACTTAGGACCTCAGGGCTTCCTCGGTGGCTGCATCCTGTGTGGCACTCCCCACAGGGAGGTCAAGAACCCACGGCCACCCTGGGTGGACGCCACACACAGGTACGGGAGGGGCTTGTTTTGCAAGGGGAAGAATGACTTTTGTCTTCTTTTGGTGAGACAGCTGTTCGAATCAAACAGGACAGCCGCTGGTTAAACTGGATCTCATGTCACTTAGGTAAAAGCTGTTCGTTAGTGCAATTGTGGGGAGGGGGTGAAAAGACATCATGCTCATCACTATCACCTATGTGGCTTTGTTTAGGAGGTGAAAAGGTCATTAGCAGTAATAAAATGATCATTAAATTTGGGAGAGGTTAAAGGTGACTGGCTGGTTAGCGGTGGAAGTGCACTGGCTGGTGTCACCGGGCGCTACAGGCAGGAACCGCAACGCAGGGCTGCGCTGGCAGGAAGTGGCAAGGGTGGGGCCGGTCGCAGGATCCCACTATCGCAGCGGGGCTGAGGCCCAATCACTGACACCCACACAGCCGTTTCCTGCACTTAAAAAAAAAAATCTGTTTCTCTCTTTGCAAATCAACAACTTTTACCTAGAAACTCTTCAGCGGTGAGCTCTGACTGATCTTGATCTCCGGTCCGTTGCAGAAAATACACCATTGTTTACCTGGGGGAGGTGTGTGCCATGGCTAACTTTAACCTAACTCTAACTGACAGGTTTCGGCGGCCTGCCGGGTCTGTGCTGCATCTGCCTGAAAGAAACCAGTTTCTTCTGCCCAAAACAGACAGCTGCTGGTTATTTAATACCTTGATATACCTTTCTAGAAAAGACCTCCAGACAAGGAGAACTTAAGTGCCCACACCAAAGCTCCATGCATGCTGCAAGGGATGGCCCTTGGTGGTCCCCCAGAGTATGCTTTCTGGCTTAGATCAAGACAGAACTGAGTATGTGGCCTTGAGAGCAGATGGCCAACTGTGGGCTACTCAGGTGTATGCTGTGACCGGAACTCTCCCTTGAGGAACCTCTGCAGGTTCCCAGGTGGAGGGGTCCACCTGTGACTGTCCGGGTCAACATCTGTCTGCCTGTGCACCCACACCACATGTCGGCCACACCAAATGTCAATTTCACCACAACTGAGCTTTCAACAAAATTTAAAAAGCAGTTCCCACGGAATTTGAAAACTGCAGCCTCTAGAACACAAGAGACAGCACCAAAAGCCACACGTGACTCAGACCCAAACTCACATTTGGTCCTGTATGAGCAATGACCCACAGAGGACCCTGGAGCCCTCTTTGACGTTCAACTCCCTGCACGCTGACTTTTTTTAACGGAAAAGATTTCCACTAAACTGTGACCTCACAGGGAGAAAAGGGCCCCATTAATGACTCCCGGAATGTGTGCAGCCACCTCAGTTGCCCAGCCTGTCTCTCCTGGAAAAGGTGCCCATGGCAGAAGCTTGTGTCCCAGTCCCTGTGCCCCAGGGTGGCGATGGGGGCTACAGACCACACACGGCACATCACCATGCAAGGTGCTTCACCCACACACCCACCTGCTAGGCCTGAGTGGATCCCATGGTCGGGCAGGAAAACTGGGGCTCAGGGAGGTTAAGTGACCCACCTGGGGCCTCCCTTTCCTCCAACGTCCAGAAACCAGCCTGATCAAGCAGTCCGCTGGATTCTAGCAGGACTGGCCGCCCAGAGGACAGAAGGAAGCGGCCTCAGTTCTCCTGTCCTGGCCTCACACGTCAGCCATTTCCTGGTACAGAGGCCTAGCAGGGCTCTAGAAACCTCTGGGTGCCCTGGGACGGACAAACCCTGGATGAGAGCATGGGACATCAGACATGTTCGATTTGCCAGGCGGAGAGATGACAGAAAAGCTTGTTCCTTCACTGTGATTTTCATGAGTGTAGGTGTCACGCTGTGTGCATGATGTTTAAGACTGCTCGCTGGACAGTCTATGGGTCCTTCAGTCTTTCTGTCAGTCCGTCTGCCTCCACCAGCTCACGGCTTAACCGCCAGGCCCACAGGGGCTCCCATCTCACCTTCCTCCTCACTCAGCCATGCTGGGACCCATGCATCTTACGCAAAGCCATAGCATCTGGGAAGCCCTGGAGTGACCAGGGGCAGGTGGCCATCACTGTGTGCTGGCCGTGTGGTCTCCCTGAGCAGAAAAAGGCTGGGGTAGCAAGAAAGGCAGAAAGGTGTTTTTTTTGTTTGTTTGTTTGTTTGTTTTAAGAAAACATGAAGTCCAGCAGTTTGAAAATGTTGGACTTTATGCTTTCTTAAAAAAAAAAAAAAAATCACAGACTACATTCACTATCTCCTGTCTTAAAGCCAAGAAAACAAGAGATCTGCCTTGTGTATTCCTGGCAAACTTTCTGAGCATGACTTCACTTGACACTCATTTGCTGACTGCTCTTGCCCACAACCAGAGAGGCCTCCTGGGCTGCACGTGGGTCTGTGCTGTGTGGCCAGGAACCAGGAAGGGAATTGTGCAGAGCTGGGCTCCGATTCCCTTGACCAGAGAGCCAGGGTAGGGCGAGCAGCTTCCTTCGCAATCCCCCAAAGAGCCAAACACTTCTCCCCAACATATGACTCATCAAAAGGTCAACCAGTGGGTCATCTGTGGTGTTCGGTGTTCTGATTGTTAGAGGTTAGTACGGAATCACAGCACAAATAATGCTGCAAGCTCAAACGGCAACCACCACACGGTCTGTACCTACCACCCAGCAGCGTGTACAATGCAGAATTTTTCTGTTCAGCCATTGCTTCTGGGTAAAAGAATCAAATGAGAAATATTTAGGCCTCCACACAGATCTGCAGTTGCTCCGGACTTAAAATGCTGCGCATGCATTTGCTGTTTTAGAGAATGTTCTGAAGCTCATGGCTTGGTTCCCGTTACTCCTATCTTGGGGCAGGAGGCAGGTCACTGGGTGTAGACCTGGCCCTGCTGCCACCTTGCTGCATGACCTTAGGGAGCCCCCATGACCTCCCCCCTCCCTTTCCTCTTCCAGGAAATGGGCATGGCCTGGCCTGTCTCTCTCACGGGTCTTGCTGGGACCTAGTGCGATAAGAACTGTGCAGGCGCCTCCTAAGGGCCCGTCGAAGTTAATATATCTCTGCAGAACGCCGAGGGGCACAGCAACTGTCAACCACAGCAGAACAAAGATGCAGTGGCCTGCGCCACTAGCCAAGGAGCCCAGGACCCCCTGGGTCTCAAATTGTGCAACAGCTCCCTAAAAAGCCTCAACCCTGAAACTGGCCCAAGGAAGTCACCCAAACCCCTGGTATCAAACGTTCTACTTTTAACAAGCATTCTTTTCTGCTTTCGAAGCCCACAGCACACTAAGAGCAGAAGCCAAGGTGGGGTGGGTAGGCTTGCAGGGGAGACACAATGGGAGGTGACAACTGAGGGAAAGTTCAAAGGCAGACCCAGCGCTGGGTTTAGGTACGTGGGGAGGCGGGGGTGGCGGTTTCCATGAAACACTGAAAATGAAGCTTTGCACCTGTGAGCTGTTGAGTGGGATGGCTCCTCCTCAGGGCCCAGCAAATACGGCACTGCTCGGCAAGTGTGTGCACCCATATGAGAATACATGCACATATGTGCAAATGTGTGTACATGTGTGTAAGCACAAAGAATGCGCATGCATGTGCACATTTGCATGCATGCATGATGCAGTATCTGTGTACTGCTCACCATCTGTGTACTGCTCACCTGTATACATGTATGTGTTCACATGTGAATATGTGCATGTCTCAATGAATGCATGCACATATATAAGCATGGAGGGTGCTCACGCCCAGCTGTTATCTATGAGAGCACGTGTGTGTGCAGGCATGCACAATGCAGTATGTGAGTGCGTGCTGCTCATCTCTGTGAATGTGTGTGTGTGTTCACAAGTGAATATGCACACATGTCCGCAGATGCATATAAGCATGGAGAGTGTGCATGGAGGGGGTGCATGGGAGAGTGCGTGCGTGCATGCATACGCGTACATGCAGGCACATGCGAGAATACTCGTGATGCAGTGTGTGTGTGAAGGCATGCTCACTTGTATGCACGTGTGTTCACATGCAAACAGGTGCATGCATGCATGTGTCTGCAGGCGTGGAGGATGTGTACACAGGGTACACAAGTGCATGCAAGAGCGTACATGTGTGCATGCACATATATGCATTAAAAATACATGGCCGCACGTGGGAATGTGCACACGTGTGTGTGCCAGCTGTGTGCATGCATTGTGATTACGCATATATGTGTGTGTACATGTGTGCTTCTGCTCCCATCTTTTAGGCAAGTGAAGAGGCCCACTGCCATTCCATCAGGAGGCCAGCAAGGATCCCTGAAGAGCCACTGCCTCTGTGTAAGGTACAGGCGGCCTCTTGCAGATGGAAGGGAGTCCCTTTGTTGTTTTGTTTTTCCTCCTCTTGATGGTAAATGTCTTTGATGTGTGGCTTACAGAAATGATCTCTTTACCCATCTGTATCTGCTCAACAGTTCACAGAAAATCTGCTCTAAATCCACACAGCCCATACTTGGTCATACTTTTTCTCCTGACTCATCCACGAGAAAGCCAACCTGGGCACTCCTGAGAGAAGGCCATGGCCAGCCCAGGGGACAGGAGGAGAGAGCCGGTGTTGCAGAAATAACTTCCCCTATGTTCACCTCTACTGACAGGTGGCCCATGTGCAGGACCGAGAGTCACTCGTAACTAGTGAGCTGGGGGCACGTGGAGCCTGCTAGGTCCATTCCAGGACCTGCGATGACACCGGGGCTGCAAAGTGAGGCCAGCGGCAGATTCCGGGGGAGGGGCAAGTGCAGGCAGGAGGGTGAGCACCGCTTCCCTCGCTGGAGCTGATGGAAAGGGCTCGGGGGCACACCCTGTCCAGGGAAGACGGGTAACAGAAGGCATGATCCTGGGAGTGTGTGGGTCTCCTGTGGCTGCCCACAATTCGACAGTGTGGGGAACACTGCCTGGAGGCTAGAGAATGGGAGGCATCCCAGACCGGGGCACAGACAGAATAGGCAATGACCGGGTAGATAAATGCATCAGGGAGCTGCAGCGACTCCTTCCGCCACTTGAAGCAACAGCTTTCTGTTTGAGAGTCTGGTCAACTGGCCGCCAGCCTACCTCTATCACATGAGAGAAATTCCACCTGTGAGTTAAAGGGCTTCAGAATCTTCAGGGGATCCTTGAGGGCCAAGGTTAGGAGACATTGGTAGCACCGGCCATGGGGAAGAGGGGCAGGGCCTGTAGGAAGCCCCCTCCTCAGAGCCATGCGTCTAGATGCCTGGGCGAGCTGGGGCGGAAGGGAGCCCCGAGCCATCCTGCCTCCTCACACCAGATGCCGCCAAGGACAATTTCCCGCTCCCTCCACTCTCAGTCCTGAAGCAGCTGGGAAGGGGCTGGACCAAGAAGTGACTCCTGCTGCCCTCACCCCCCAGAGGTCCTCCTTGAGCACAGACGGGGAGAAGGATGGAAGAGAAGAGGCCGGAATGGCCACAGGGCTGCCGGCCATGACTGGCTCCTAAAGTGTAGCCGGGGTGTCGGGGTGGCACTGACATGCTCGGGCAGAGGCTGCACGAAGCGCCCCCAGTCACAAGGGTGGCTCTAAGGCCAAGGCTTTGTGCACTCCAATACAGAGCCAGACGCCCAGGGGCCCACAGGACGAGGCGAGGGCCAGCAGGCGGGAGGCACACACCACGCACACATGGCGCTTGCGTGGACCTGGGCGGCTGGGCCGGGAGGACCCTCTTGCTCCCCACACAGGGTCCTGCGGCATCTGCTGCTACTCTGGGCTGGTGAGCAGGGGGGCCCTGGTCCCCTGCCATCCTGCACCGGCAGGCGGCGGCTGCGAGAGAAGAAAGCTTACTGACCGCTGGGCGGTTTAGGCCGTGGAGGAGCGGGTTTCTTCGGAGGCAGAGCAGGAGTGTCCTGTTTACTTTTAAAGGGGTCATCTGAGAATCCTGCCCCTCCCAAGGAGGAGGTGAAAGGGCCAGAAGGTGGGGGCTGTAAGAGAGGACACGAAAGAGAGGCAAAAATAGTTGTTAAAACAAAGGTGACGGATGTCCACTGAACAGACGCTCATGCTCCAAGGGCCCTGGCGAGGCCTCCTACCCTCCGGACTGCACATCATGGCCTTGCTCGGACGTGGGGTCTCTCTCAAGCCCCGTGCTTTCCTCCACCCTCAACAGCAGGGGCCCTCTGGCCTCTGTGGGTGATAAGCAGAGAGCAGTCCCATCCCTCCACGGGCTCCCAGCACCAAGGGCATCCCCAGCCACAAGGGGCACACTGGCTCTTTCCTGACTCCAGGACTTGGCACACAGGGTCCCTTGGGCCTCCTGCTTACATTTCAGAGGCACGTCCCACCCTCACCTCTGTGCTGGCTGTGGTGCTTGGCGCATGCCCTGCTGTGCCGCCTCCCCACTGAGCTGGCTGGTGTGGTCACTACCTTCAGTTAGTGATGGGCAGCTCCAGGTGCTGGTTCAGCTGGCACCAGACCTTCCTCCTCCATGCCTCTGGGCTGCACACGAAGCACCCGAGGTGGGAGCGCACCCTCACATGCCCAGCCCACCCCCACTGGCCAGCACGCCCACACCGCCTCCACTGGGCTCTGACCACCTCTGGCCTGGACTCTCAGCCAGCCTCCATCACACCCATCCACATCCTCCACCCCACACCTGCTGCCTCAAACCCAAATCGGACCACATCCTCCAGCTTAAAGAGTGAGACAGTCAGAGACAGTGATAACAATTGGGTAGATGAATGGATGGTGGGTGGGTAGATGAATGGAATGGTAGCTGGATGAATGGAGAGACATATATGTGGATTAATGGACAGATGAATGGCAGGTGGGTGGGTGGGCGGATGGACGGGCAGGCAGGTGGGTGGTAGACAGGGAGGCAGGTGGGTGGGTGGGTGGATGGACGGGCAGGCAGGTAGAGACAGGGAGGCAGGTGGGTGGGGGGGGCGGATGGACGGGCAGGCAGGTAGAGACAGGGAGGCAGGTGGGTGGTAGACAGGGAGGCAGGTAAGTGGCAATGTCTCGCAGGTAGGTGGGTAGGCACTTCCTACGGGGAAGCTCCAAGCTCCCATTAAGGTATGCAGGGACTCTATCACTGCCCCGGCTGCCTGAATTTCAGGCTCACCTCTGAAGTCACCCCTCCCTTCACAATGCCTCCTTAGTCCCCAGAACCCACTGCACCCCCAGCCGCTGACTCAGCCTCCTGTTTCCATGCTTTGCACACTCAGGTCTCCTGCTGGGGAGCTCGGCTCCCCTCGTCCACCAGGAACCCCTCTCCTTGCTCAGAGCCTGGCTGGACCCCACTTCCGTCCCTCAGAGCTCTCCCAGGGCTCTCCCTGGGGCCACTTCCTGCCACCCATGCCCGCACTGCTTACTGAGCCACAGAGACAGGCTTCCAGGCCTCTCCCACCTAGAGGGCAAGCATAGTCCCCTTCCAGGCGCCTGCTGCCTCCAGGCCTGTGATGAGCAGATATTAAGCGCTGCCATCTGGAGGGATGCTTGTCCCTCACTTGGAGCGCCGGTGCGGCACAAGGGAGCCAGGGTCTCCATCAGCCACAGAAGGGCTGGCGCATCTCAGGCATGTGAGGGAAGGCGCTGGGGTGTCCCAGGAGGGAGAAAATCACTTTCTATGGGCAGAAGATGGATGAGGAACCACTCTTACTAAAACAGAAAATAACTAAGTGTGTAATAAAATAGAAAATAACTACATTCTTACTAACAGAGGAAACACATTGTTACAAAAATGCAAAATAACTAGGAAATTATAGGACAAAGAGATAACATTGAGACAGGAAACAAAATGAACGGGCAGAAATAGGGGTAAAAATGGTCATGTGTTCCTGGCTGGGCGCAGTGGTTCACGCCTGTAATCCCAGGACTTTGGGAGGCCGAGGCGGGTGGATCACAAGGTCAGGAGATTGAGACCAGCCTGGCTAACACGGTGAAACCCCATTTCCACTAAAACTACAAAAAATTAGCTGGGCGAGGTGGCGGGCGCCTGTAGTCCCAGCAACTCGAGAGGCTGAGGCAGGAGAATGGGGCGAACCTGGGAGGCGGAGCTTGCAGTGAGCCGAGATCCCGCCACGGCACTCCAGCCTGGGCGACAGAGCGAGGCTCCATCTCAAAAAAAAAAAAAAAATCATGTGTTCCTCCAAGAGCATAGAAAAGAAAGATCAGAGTGGGGCAGAGATGGAGGGAGGGGCCCGGGGTCTTTAACTTTCTCCCCAGCAGGGCAGGCCTAGAGACAGAGAACAGGTCAAGAGCACAAAGGCACACTCCCAGGATTTCCCTCGAGAATCCGGATGCAACAGATCGCAGATATGGGGGAAAAGGTCTAACACCACCTCCAGCAGACGGTCCTAGAGGTATGGCCGCCTCTGCCTCCAATGTCTAGTCACACCGACGCAGCCGACTAAGGGTCCAGTGTCTAGTTATGCTGACACAGCCATCCAGGCCTTCAGCGTCTAGTCACACCAACGCAGCCGTCTAAGGCTCCAGTGTCTAGTCACACAGACGTGGCCATCTAAGGCTACAGCATCTGGTCACACCAAGGCAGCTGTCCAAGGCTCCAGCATCTGGTCACACAGATGTGCCCATCGAAGGCTCCAGCATCTAGTCACACAGACACGGCCATCTAAGGCTCCAGCATCTAGTCACACCAATGCAGCCGTCTAAGTCTCCAGCATCTAGTCACACCAATGCAGGCGTCTAAGGCTCCAGCATCTAGTCACACCAGTGTGGCTGTCTAAGGCTCTAGCGTCTAGTAACACCAATGCAGCCCTCTAAGGCTCCAGCATCTAGTCACACCAGTGCAGCCATCTAAGGCTCCAGCGTCTAGTCACACAGATGTGGCCGTCTAAGGCTCCAGCGTCTAGTCACACAGATGTGGCCGTCTAAGGCTCCAGGGTCTAGTCACACAGATGTGGCCGTCTAAGGCTCCAGTGTCTAGTCACACAGATGTGGCCATCTAAGGCTGTAGTGCCTAGTCACACCAATGCAGCCATCTAAGGCTCCAGCACCTCGTCACACAGACACAGCCATCTAAGGCTCCAGCATCTAGTCACACCAATGCAGGCGTCTAAGGCTCCAGCATCTAGTCACACCAGTGTGGCTGTCTAAGGCTCTAGCGTCTAGTAACACCAATGCAGCCCTCTAAGGCTCCAGCATCTAGTCACACCAGTGCAGCCATCTAAGGCTCCAGTGTCTAGTCACACAGATGTGGCCGTCTAAGGCTCCAGTGTCTAGTCACACAGATGTGGCCGTCTAAGGCTCCAGTGTCTAGTCACACAGATGTGGCCATCTAAGGCTGTAGTGCCTAGTCACACCAATGCAGCCGTCTAAGTCTCCAGCATCTAGTCACACCAATGCAGGCGTCTAAGGCTCCAGCATCTAGTCACACCAGTGTGGCTGCCTAAGGCTCTAGCGTCTAGTAACACAGATAAGGCCATCTAAGGCTCCAGCATCTAGTCACACCAAAGTGGCCATCTAAGGCTCCAGTGTCTAGTCACACCAATGCAGTCATCTAAGGCTCCAGCATCTAGCCACACAGACGTGGCCACCTAAGGCTCTGGCATCTAAAACATAGACGTGGTCATTTAAGGCTCTAGCGTGTAGTCACACAGACACGGCTGTCTAAGACTCTAGTGTCTAGTCACGTAGATGCAGCCATCTAGGCTTCCAGCATCTAGTCACACCAATGCAGCCGTCTAAGGCTCTAGCATACAGTCACACAGACATGGCCGTCTAAGGCTCTAGCATCTAGTCACACAGACACGGCCATCTAAGTCTCCAGTGCCTAGTCATGCAAAGGCAGCCATCTAGGCCTCTAGCATCTAGTCACACCAACACAGCCATCTAAGGCTCTAACATCTATTCATACAGACGGGGCCATGTAAGGCTCTAGCCACATCGATGTGACCATCTGAGGCTCTAGCATCCAGTCACACCAACGTGACCGTCTGAGGCTTTAGTGTCCAGTCACATCAATGTGGTGGTCTAAGGCTCTAGCAACTAGTCACACTGATGTGGTTGTCTAAGGCTGTAGTGTCCAGTCATACCAACGTGGCCATCTAAGGCTCTAGTGTCTAGTCACACCAACATGGCCGTCTAAGGCTCCAGGGTCTAGTCACACAGATGCAGCCATCTAAGGCTCTAGCATCCTGCCACACTGACGCGGCTATCTGAGGCTCTAGCTTCCAGTCACACCAATGCAGCCATCTGAGGCTCAGGTATCTACTCACACAGATGCAACTCTCTAGGTCTCTAGCATTTAGTTGCACAGACATGGCATTTAGGCCTCTGGAGTCTAGTCAGAGAGATGGCCACCTGTGTCTCTGGCAGCTAGTTATAGAGATGCAGTCATCTAGGCCTCTAGCATCTAGTTACAGAGATGCATCCTTCTGGGCCGCTCGCGTCCTGTCACAGACATGGCTGCCTTGGACCTTGTGTAGTCCTAGAGTCGAGGCTGCTGAGCCCAGTCAGAGCCACATCAGAGACAGAACAGGGAGGTGACCCCTCTAAGAGGCAGCCTACCCATTCCAGGTCCCCCTGACGAGGGCAGAGGCAGATGCCCTCAGGGAGGGGAAGGGGCCCCAAAGGCTCCTGCACAGATGACCCCGCCAGATCCCTTCCCTGGGCTTCACGCCGCCCTCTGGAGCCGCCCAGGCAGGAGACACTCGCTCTGTGCTGATCTTCTCACCTAATAGGCCCAGTTACCTGGCAGGGGGTCCCACAGTCAGCACCTCTGCCTTACACACAAGGAAACTGAGGCACACAAAGGAGGCGCAGCCTGCCCAAATCACACAGCAGGTCCAGGTCTGCAGCAGATCTGGGACTGCCACATCGTCTGCCTCTCAGGCTGGGGCCTCCAGACGCTGCCCTCAGCTGCCAAGGGCCACCCCAGTTGTAGGTCCAGGGCCTCATCGTGGGCAGAATGTTCTGCCCAGGCTGGAACCTCAACCCTGCCACCTACTCAACGCCCTGTGCCTCGGTTTCTTCATCTGTAAAATGGCAAGAGTGACAGAGCTCGGAGGGCTCCAGCAAGAAGGGAATGAGGTGACATGTGACAGGCATCCGTCCACCCACTGGCACTAGGTAAAGTTGGCACATGGACTACACGATAATGATCACACCAAGTACGAAGCCGCGACTGGAATCTGGGAATGCCCCACCTACTGCCCCAGCTGTCCCCAGGCCTGTCTGAGACACGAGGGGCAGGGTTGGCTTGCGGCTTAGCTTTAAAATGGGCCATTTAGGATCGGCTGTTTGGGTAAGAATCGGGGAAAGAACACTGGCCCGTCTGTGGGTGCTTCTGCCATTCACAGAACACATCCCTGGGCCTAGGACCCATGCAAGTCCCCCGCAGCCTGGGATGGGCAGGCGAGCAAGTCTAGATGGGAAGTGGTGTGACCGGCCGGGCCTTGTCCTCCCTAGACGTGTGCTGGCTTCTGGGCCACATCTCCAAACTCGGAGTGGAGCCTCGGTCCCAGTGGCTGCAGTGAGCCTTTCCACCCTCTGCGTTATGTAGTAAGACCCGGGCAAGTAAAACCACACTCAGCCTGGACATCCAAAGTTGTAAGACCTGGTGACACACTCAAATCAGAGCCGCCTGACCCTCGAGGCTGACTGGGGACACCTCGGGCCAAGCCGGCTTGGCGCCTCCCATGTGTGTTTAAACCCACGAGGCCAATCGGCAACTTGCGAGGCGACAGGCTTCCAATAAACGCCTGGCACTGCCTCCGCAGTGAATCAGATCACTCCTAGCGCCAGAACGCCCGCGTCATTTCCGAATCCCAATTTTCATGACTTCAAGTTTCCCAAGAAGCCTCCTTGGGGACTCAACTCTTTCCTACTCAGGCAGCGGCTTCAAGGAAAGTTGCTATTTTTAGAAAGGTTTCAGTAAAGCTGTCAGGGGCTCTCTGGGCTCGGCAAGAGTGAAGTGTGCTTAAAATAAAAGGAAGACAGAAAAAGCTACTATGAAAACCAGCTCTAAGAGAAACACACGTTTGAGTTCACCAGTTGAAGAACTGCTTCAAAACAAAAGACTGAATTTTTAAACAACAGCCCTAAACATCAACGCACAGCTTTAAACGATTGAGAAGTTGCTAAAAATGGGCTGACGACTAACCCAATATTTCACAGATGGCTTTTTTTTTTTTTTTTTTCAGGGCAGGGGAGGGTGAAATAAGTTGGACTCTTGTTTTTATTCTCAAATGCTCCCTGGAAACATACTTTGGGGAGTCTGTTTTTAAAGCGAGCTGATGTCACGTAGGTTTGACACTGTCTAGAAAAATCTCTTCAGGTGAGGGTGGGGCCTCAACTAAGAGTGCAGGCCCCAAGAGCCTCCCAAAGGAAACTTCTAGAATTAGACTCTGGGCTGTGACTCTCCTCAGCAAAGCCACACAGAGGTAAGGTGCTTCAATTCAGGGACTTACAAAAGGGCCTCCCCGCCCTGCTCAGATGGGGAAAAGTTGATGATGGTTTGTTTTTTTTTTTTTAAAAAAAAAAAAAAAACACCTTCTTGCCACTTTCATTTCCCTTAGCATTTTATTTATATCCACAATGTTGTTCTTGAAAAACAGAAAGGTAACCAAAAAGGAAAAACCGAGTTACAAGGTCAGGGTTGAGCTCAGAATGCGGCTGTACAAGTGTCATGAAGGCAGCTGACGGAACGGTGGAATCAAAACAAGATAGTATTGGAGACCCATTTTCCACAGCTCCGTCCAACTCTGTCCTAGCCTGGCACCGCCAATAGGAAGTGAGACCAGCTCTGAAATCACAGCTGCATGTGTGTGAAGAGCCCCTGGTTTCAGGGCCCAAGGACAGGCAGAGGGCGGTCATTAGACCCCGGCCCTAGTCCAGGTTCTGCTAGCTCCCCGCTCTCCACTCACAGTGAGAGGAGGAAGCCAGAGCCAGCCTCCCAAAGGAAGAGGAGTCCATATGCGACAACCAGAAACGACCAGGACCCCTGCCTTAGGGACTGCTGCCACCGTGTGGCCAACGTTTCCTGCTTTCGGGAGATGGTTTCCTGCCTGCCCAGGAGCCTGTGCAGCGGCCCCTAAATCTCCTTCCCCTGGTGCCCTCCTGGCCAGTCCCAAACCGTGTCACAGCGTGGCATGTAAGGGATGGAGGCCTTCTCCGTGTGCTGGAAGGAGGGGGTGCCACACCAGGGCCTCTGGGCTCCCTCTGCCCAGGCTCATCTGTATAAACACACACCCTGCCTCGGTCAGAAGTGGGATTTGCTGCGTCGCCAGGGCACTCACACACGCGTCTTTGAAAACCTGAACAGAATCTCAAGTGCTTCTCGGAATCTGTGTTCTGTGATCACAAGTTGCGACCGCTGCCAACCACAAGATGCCCAGAGACTTGTTTGCTCCACCAGCTGAGTGAACACGGGGCAGCCCAGTCACACTGGCACCTGGGGACCCGGGCATGGGGCCGGCGGGGTGGGGAGCCCCAGGGGGCCTCATGCCTGGGGCATGCATCTTCCAGGTACTCCTGGGGCTCCCTCCCCTCACCACCTTCAGGCTGATAGCAGCACCCACAGACACTGGGCCCAGCTGCTCCAGGGGACCCCCCCACCGGCCACCCCTTACCACCTGGGCCATGGGCTCTAGGAAGGGGGCTGTATTCTGCTTGTGGCCACTGCCTCTTCCCGCAGCGTGGACGATGCCTGGGCCTCTGCAGGTGGAACGCGTGAGGAAAGCAGGCCCCTGCAGCCCCCCGAGGACAGAGCCCATCCACCCCTGCCTGGGGGCTACCAAGAAGGGACAGAGTGGATGCAGGTGTCAGGGACGGGGCACACCTCACCTGCTTTTCTTCATTCCTGCCAAAGAAACACGCTCCTGGCTCAAACAGGGAGATATACAATTCACAAGGAAGCACAGTAGTGCCTCAGCCCCGGCCTCTTTCCCACTCACCATGGCCCCCATTTCCAACTTTCCAGCAGTTTCTTCTGGAAGGCACCTCAGTCGTAAGGGGCTTCTATTGTTATTTCTTGACTTGTTCATTCTGGACGTTCCCTGTTGAATTCTCTATGCTACCTTAAAGATTAGCTCCAGCCACACTGCCAGCCCCTGGAGAAGCCCTACAGCTGTCTGGGACCAGAGTCACAGTGAGTTCAGGTCACCGTGTGGTGAGGGCCGGACGCAGACGGGTCCAGTCTGGTAACGAGTCTCGCTGCTGTCCTCCTTCAACAGTTCACTCCTCACCTGTGGATCTGTCTGCATTTATTCACGGAGCCTGGCCCTCACTTTTCAACACCCCTCGAAAGTTCTGTCACACGGGCGGCTCCGAAAACTCGCTGGCCCGCTTTCCCCGGATGCCTTGCACCTGCGAGTCTGCTGCCCACGGCCCTCTTGAGACGCCTGTGCCCAACGCCTTCTTGAGTTTCTACTTGGCCATGGCAATGACTTCACCATCTGAGACCCGATGGTCGTGAGACACCAGTGGGAGCCGGGGGAGCCCAGGGCACTTTTGCCACTGGGATGAGTCAGGGCTCACCCTGAGGGACTGAAGTGCATCGGATCACAGCCATGGGTGCTTTCCAGGCCTAACCTTGTATTTGAAAGGTGCCGGGGAGATACATACGTGACATGAACAATTACGCCTGGCAGCCCACACCATGACAAGAGGCACAAACACACTAGCAGAGGCGCGGGAGCTCCGTGGAGGGCTTTACCTTGGACATCTGGCTGAAGTCGGCAAAGCCTTCAGCACTATTGAAGGACCCACTTCCGAAGGGATCTAAGGTTCCAAAGGGATCTGCAATTGGCACCAACAAAGTCAGAGTTACAGGTCTTTAAGAGACACACCTTCTGGGGTGGAGGGAAAATGCTAGATGGCTCCTGAACCAGGAGACTCAGGAAGGCTGCATTTATTCATTAGACACACGTGTGTGCATGAAGGTCCCTCAGCAAGGCCTGCCTGCCCACGCTGGCGCGGCGAGACGGTTTCTCACCGTGATGACCGCTCTGGGAGGGCCAGCATCATTCACGGTCATCGGAAGAGTGACAAGTTGCTGTAGGGGCATGGCCCCTGGGTCCTGCTGGGTCTCACTGGGTCAGGAGGGGAGGAGCAACTCCAGGGTGACCCGCCACCCACACGATTTATGCAAGGCGGTGTCTTTGGATAGAGGTTTTTGCTGTGTTTTCTCCTCTGACCTGCAAGGGATTTGCCTAGAGTACTGGATATACTCGCCTATGATCCGCCCCGCACAAGCTGCAGGACCAAGCAGGGCCTGTTCCCAAAAGAAAGGGGGTGTCCACAGATGCTCCCATTGCGTAAAGGCTCGAGCATGCATCTGCGAGTTCTACACTGTGAGATGAGGTTCCTTCAAACACAGAACCCACAACACAGGCCAGTACCTGGGGTCAAATTTTGGATTTCTTTTAGGCAGAAAACCCAAAGATACAAACCAAAGATTTATAAGGAGGAGTGAGTAACAGTAGTTAATATCACTGGTGCTATTACTGAATTCCTACTGCGAAAATTCCCTTCCAGAAAGATGCCAGCGCGTGCCGTGCCTGGGAAGAGGAGCAGCAGCAGATGCTTGTTTTGGCCTAATGGGCTCAGGCCAGGATCTGGGTGCCACTGACTAATGACACAAACACAGAGGCCACACTGGCTTTGGGAGTGAAAGTGTTAACTGGGCGGGGAGGGGAGGCTCTGCTACTGCCCGAGGAATAGTCAGGAAGGAAAATAAGCCATGGGTCTCACCTGATCCTTTTGAGGAGACACTGGAGGATGAAAAGGGATCACTGGATTCAAAGGGGTCGAGCTGAGTGAAAGGAGAGAGGAAAGAGTAAAAAGCAGTTCATTTGTTCCATCACCCATTCATTCAACCAGACTTTCCTGACGTTGAAGTACAACATCCAGTGCCAGGCCGGAGGGAAAGTGGAATGATTAAAACTCAACCCAGGCAGAGTAAAATCGCAACAGATCAACCCTCCTGCATATAGCACCTATCGACCTGGACAGAATACCCCCAAAATTACAAATACAAAAAGCAGTGGCCTGAAGGCTGGGAAGTGAACAAGGCAGGGAGAAGACTTTGGAGGAGAATTTGAATGTGGCAGAAGAACACAGCAGGAGGCTGAGTTTCCACTCCGCCAGCTACAGCAGGAGAGCACAATGCGGGTGCCTAAGATTCTGGTAGAATCTGAACACCGGAGGATGGAGCCCAGAGACAACCACTCCCGGGAAAAGGGAGGGGAATCAGGATGGAGGGGCAGAGATGTAAGCCCTGAACTTCATGATCCACTCTCCCCCTGTCTCAGGCTGGTCCCTGCCCATGCAAGCCTGGGGGGACTCAAGGCAGCCTGCAGCTGAGGCCACAAGAACTGAGCCGGGATTGGAGCTTCTGCCATCTGCTGGAGAGTGTCTGCAGTGTGAGTGCCACCAAGTTAACTGCCTGCTGAAACAAATCCATTCCTGCTCTTTGGAGAAAACAGACTACAGTCTGGACACAGAACACTCACCATGCATCAGATACATTTCTAAACATACAAAGAACTGGAAAAATGTGACCAATTCTCACCAGAAAAGACAATCAGCATAGCCAATCTCAAAATAACCCAGATGGTGGAACTCTGAGACAGGGACAACGTAAAACGGTGATTATAACTGTGCTAAATGAGGAAAAGGAAAATACACTTAAAATGAATGAAAAGACAGGCGACCTTAGCAGAGAAACAGAAAGTATACAAAAGAAACAAATGAAAGTTCCAGAAATGAAAAAGTCTATCTACAATAAAAACTTCATCGCCGGGGGCAGTGGATCACCCGAGGTCAGGAGTTCAAGACCAGCCTGGACAACATGGCAAAACCCCGTCTCTACTAAAAATACAAAAATTAGCCACGTGGGCGAGGCACAATAGCTCACACCTGTAATTCCAGCACTTTGGGAGGCCAAGGCAAGTGGATCACCTGAGGTCAGGAGTTCGAGACCAGCCTGGCCAACATGGTAAAACCTGTTTCTACTAAAAATACAAAAAATTAGCCAGGTGTGGTGGTGGACACCTGTAATCCCAGCTACTTGGGAGGCCGAGGCAAGAGAATTGCTTGAACCCAGGAGGCAGAGGTTGCAGTGAGCCGAGATTATACCATTGTACTCCAGCCTGGGCAACAACAGTGAAACTCCGTCTCAAAAATAAATAAATAAATAAGCCAGGCTTAGTGGTGCATGCCTGTAATCCCAGCTACTCAGGAGGCTGAGGCAGGAGAATGGCTTGAACCTGGGAGGTGGAGGTTGCAGTGAGCTGAGATTACCCCACTGCACTCCAGCCTGGGCGAAAGAGCAAGACTCTGTCTCAAACAAACAAACAAACGCTCCATTAGGTTAGCTAAATAACCAGTAATAAAAGAAAGAGTAAGTGAAGTTGAAAACAGAACAGTAGAAATTACTCAATCTGAAGAAAAAGGAGAAAAAAGAATGAAAAGATAAATAAATAGAGCCTCAGGAACCTGTGGGACAATAACAAAGGGTCTAACATCCATGTAACTGGAATCCCAGAAAGAGAGGGGAGAGAAAATGGGGCAGAAAAAACAAATTAGGAGAACTGACAGCTGAAAGCTTACCAAATTTGTTTTGTTGTTGTTGTTCTGAGACGGAGTCTCGCTCTGTCACCCAGGCTGGAGTGCAGTGGCGCAATCTCGGCTCACTGCAACCTCTGATTCCCAGGTTCAAGCGATTCTCCTGCCTCAGCCTCCCAAGTAGCTGGGATTACAAGTGTGCACCACCACGCCTGGCTGATTTTTGTACTTTTAGTAGAGACAGGGTTTCACCACATTGGCCAGGATGGTCTTGAACACTTGGCCTCAAGTGATCCGCCCGCCTTAGCCTCCCAAAGTGCTGGGATTACAGGAATGAGCCACTGAACCCAGCAATGAAAACTTACCAAATTTGTTGAAAAGCATAATTTACAGATTGAAGAAGCTGAGCAAAGCCTAAACAGTATAAACACCAAGAAAACTACACCCAGAAACTTCAAAAACTACTGAAAACCAAAGATAAAGAGAGAATCTTGAAAGTAGCCAGAGAAAAACCATCTATTACATACAGGATAACAATGAAAGAATACTCCTCTCCACCGGGCGTGATGGCTCACACCTGTAATCCCAGCACTTTGGGAGGCTGAGGCGGGTGGATCACGAGGTCAGGAGATCGAGACTATCCTGGCTAACATGGTAAAACCCCGTCTCTACTAAAAATAAAATAAATTAGGTAGGCATGGTGGTGGGCGCCTATAGTCCCAGCTACTTGGGAGGCTGAGGCAGCAGAATGGCGTGAACCCGGGAGGTGGAGCTTGCAGTGAGCTGAGATTGCGTCACTGCACTCCAGCCTGGGCAACAGAGCAAGACTCTGTCTCAAAAAAAAAAAAAACAAAAAACAAAAAAAAAAAACTCTTCTCATCAAGGACAATGGAGGCTGGAAGGCAGTGGAAAAACACGCTAAAAGTGCTAAACGAACAAACAAAAGCCCAACAACCTACATCAAATGCAACGTCCTTCAAGAATGACAACAGGCCTGGCACAGTGGCTCATGCCTGTAATTGCAGCACTTTGGGAGGATGACACGGGCAGATCACTTGAGTTCAGGAGGTCAAGACCAGCCTGGCCAACATGGTGAAACTCCATCTTACTAAAAATACAAAAATTAGCCAGAAATCCCTTGAACCTGGGAGGCAGAGGTTGCAAAAAAAAAAAGAGTAACAGCCGGGTACAGTGACTCAAGCCTGTGATCCCAGCACTTTGGAGGGGCTGAGGGAGGAGGATTGCTTGAGCCTAGGAGTTTGAGACCAGCCTGACCAACATATAGAGATCCAATCTCTACAAAAAATAAAAAATTAGCTGGGTGTGGAGGTACATGCCTGTGGTCCCAGCAACTTGGGAGGCTTAGGTGGGAGAATTGCTTGAGCCCAGGAGGTTGAGGCTGCAGTGAGCCAAGATCACACCACTGCACTTCAGCCTGAGCAACAGAGTTAGACTCTGTTTCAAAAATAAAAACAAAAAAGTGACAATACAGTCGATTTGCACTATAAGAAGTGCTAAAGAAAGTTCTTTAGGCTGAAGGAAAATGATAATGGAGGGAAATCCACTCTTCAGAAAGAAATGAAGAGTATCAGAAATGGTACATATGTGGGTAAAACTAAATGGCTACTTTTTTCCTTTTTCTTTAAAATAACCACAATGGATTAATGCAAAAATTATAAGGGTCTTATGGAGTTTCTAATGTATTTAGATGTATGATATTCACATGACGGCTATAACATAAGACACGCTGGCTGTAAGGGTGGGTGGACAAATGGTTGCAATTTTCTACATTTTACATGAGATAATACAATACTAACCTCAAGTAGACTATGAAAAGTTAAAACTGTACACGGTATTTCCTAAGCAACCTCTAAACAATCATTAAAAGAGGTATGATTAAAATAATAAAAGGCCAATAGATAGAATTCCAAAAAACATTCAAACAATCCAAAAGAAGCCAGGAAACAAAACATGGGATAAAAAGCAAGCAAATAATAAAATAGTAGAGTTAAACCATATCAATAATTACATTAAATGTTAATGGACTAAACATTCCATTTACAAGGCAGGGACTTCTGACCGGATAAAAAAAAAAAGCAAGTCGCAACACTACGCTAGTTACAAAAGACATCTATCAGTTTTAAAGACCCAGGTAAGTTGAAAGTAAATGGTTGAAAAATGATATATCATATAGTGAATAACATGAGGAGAATGAAGTGATAAAACAGACTTCAAGACAAAGAACATCACCAGAGATCAAATGGGAACCTTTTATAATGATAAAAAGGTTGTTGTGTCAGAAAGACACAACAATCATAAACATCTATGCACCTGACAGAGCTTCAAAATACACAAAGCAAAACTTGACCAAATTAAAGTGCAGTATGAACAATTCCACAATCATAGGAGAACGTTTAACACCTCTCTCTCAGCCATTGGTAGAACTAAAAAAGGAACAAACAATGAAGACACACATAATCTGAACACTATCAGGAAGCTCAACCTCGCTGCCATTTGTAGAACATTACACCCAACAACTAGATACACATTCTTCTCAAGTGTACATGGTTTGTTCACCAACATAGGCCATAAACAGCAACCCTTGATAAATGTGAAGGTATTGAAAACATACAGAAAATGTTCTCTAATAACAAATTGAATTAAAAATCAATAATAATAGTATTATAATAGACCTAGGAGAAGAAGCCAAGTGTCTGGAAATGAAACAACACACTTTTAAGTAATCCATGGGTAAACAGAATTCACAAGGGAAACTGGGAAACATCTCAAAACTGAATGGCAATGAAGAGACAAAGTACTCAAATATATGAAATACAGGTAAAGTAGTGCTTGCGGGAAATACGTTGCTTTAAATTTATACAGACGCTCCTTGACTTACCATGGGGTTACGTCCTGATAAACCTATTGTAATTTGAAAATATCTTAAGTCGAAAATGTACTTAATATCCCAATAAACCCATCATAAAGCAAAAAATCATAAGTCGAACCAACATAAATCCAGACACTCCTTGACTTATGATGGGACTGCATCTCAATAAAACTACTGTAAAATCAAAAAACTGTAAGTTGAACCATCGTAACTCAGGGACCGCCTGTACTAGAAAATGAAGTCTAAAATCAATGAATGAAGGTTGGAGCTTAAGACATTAGAAGAGCAAGGTAAACCCTAAATAAACAGGAGTAAGGAAATAGAAAAAATAGAAATAGAAAAGAGAAAATCAATGAAATAGAAAACAAGCAGTAGAGAAAAATGAAGCCAAAAGTTGGTTATGGAAAAGGTATGGAGAAGGTCAATGAAACTGGTAAACAGATCACCTATACCAGGAATGCTACAGGTCTTAAGGACGTTAAAAAGGGGCCAATAAGAAAACACTGCAAATGAATCGTTGCCTTCAAAGAGCTCCAAGCGCTAAAGACCAAAAGGTCCACAGGGAGTGAGGGAGGTGGGCACCAGGGCAGCAGGAGCCCTGAGGAGGAGGGATAAGTGCTCGTCTCTGAGCAGGCCCTGGGCCTGGGTTGCAGCCTAGAAAACAGAAAAAGGCTATGAAGCAAGCTCACTCCATCATTAAAATCCTCTCCTCCATCACCAGAGACTGCTTTTTTTTGTTTTGTTTTAAAATCCAAGTTGACAGCTATTTAACCCAATCTCTTAGGCATAATGTGCAAAATGCCCGGTGTCTGCCATGCCTGCGGATGGAAGCACAGGTGTGCTGGAGTTGGAAACTGGAGGGTCAGAGTTGGCTGATGCTCTCAGGAGACAACACCAGGCAAGGCAGTCGGGCTGAGACGCCTGCACTTACTCCTGCCGTGACAGGGGCACCCACCAAGGTGACTCTAAGGTCCCCACCAGTGCTGTGTGTTACAAGGACCGTGTGGGGTGGCCGGGGCCGTGCAAGTATGTGGTGCTTGTTTGATTTAGTCTTTTTTGGGAGATGAAGGGGCAGTGGAGGCAGATGACTAGAGTTGAGGGGTGGGGATGGGGATAGAGGAATAAGAACTGTGGGTGACATCCTCCTTGCCCTGATGTGGGGCCACTGGACAGCTGACTGAACCTTGGGGCTCACAGGCGAGTCACTGCAGTGACTAGGCCAGACAGCTCCCTCACTCAGCAGGAATGCAATCAGCCTGGGATACCAGCTCCCAGAGAACAGGCACCAAGGCCCATACTCGCAGGCACCACGTACACTCCACGAAGGGAAGGAGGCCTTCGGGAAGTGCCACCCTCACACACATAGAGCAGGCGTGCGGCTCTCCCAGGCAACGTCCCACCCCACTCACCTTCGAAGGTAAGGAAGGGTTTTTCATGAATGGGTCCGAGGTAAATGGGTCATTCTTTGTCTGTTTCTTGAAGAAGTCGTCGGTGGCAGAGCCACGGAATGGGTCACTTTCTTTGAAAGGGTCCCCTCCAAATGGATCTAGAAGGAAAAATGCCCCGTGAGTAAACATTATACCGAGTGAAAGAACCCAGGCATAAAAGGACACACCACAGAATGATGCCGTTTACATGGAATTCTAGAAAGGGAAGAACGCTAGTGATGTAAAATAGGGCAGTGGTGGCCAGGGCAGCCTGGGGAGAGGGTGGAGGGTGACAACAAACAGGCCTCAGGAATGACCGAAGTGTTCTCAAATCTCACACAACTGTGCATATTTGTTGAAACTCATCTTGTTACATAATAAAATAGGTGAATTTTGTTCTGTGTACATTATACCACTCAATAAAATTGACTTTAAAAATAATAATATCCTAGGCCGGGCGCGGTGGCTCAAGCCTGTAATCCCAGCACTTTGGGAGGCCGAGGCGGGTGGATCACGAGGTCAGGAGATCGAGACTATCCTGGCTAACATGGTGAAACCCCGTCTCTACTAAAAATACAAAAAACTAGCCGGGCGTGGTGGCGGGCGCCTGTAGTCTCAGCTACTTGGGAGGCTGAGGCGGGAGAATGGCGTGAACCCGGGAGGCGGAGCTTGCAGTGAGCCGAGATCACGCCACTGCATTCCAGCCTGGGAGACACAGCGAGACTACGTCTCAAAAAAAAATAAAATAAAATAAAATAAAAATAAAAATAAAAATAATAATATCCTGGCCAGGCATGGTGGCTCATGTCTGTAATCCCAACCCTCCAATCACTTTAGGAGACTGAGATAGGAGGACCATTTGAGGCCAGGAGTTCAAGACCAGCATGGGCAACACAGAGAGACCCCTGCTTGTAAAAACAAAAAAAATAAAAAATTAGCCAGGTGTGGTGGCACGTGCCTGTAGCACCAGCTACTAAGGAGGCTGAGGCAGAAAGGCTGCTTGAGCCCAGGAGGTCAAGGCTGTAGTGAGCTATAATTGCACCACTGCACTCCAGCCTGGGCAACAGAGTTAAACCCTGTCTCTAAATAAATAATAATATATCCTGCAGGAGATGGATATTATTATAATAATAATAATAATAATAATAATAATAATGCAGGTAAATCCATAGAGACAGAAAATAGATTAGTGGGTGCCAGGGGTTGGGGGAGGGAACAGGGAGTGACTGCTGATGGGGATGGGGTCTCCTTTTGGGGGGATGAGAATGTTGTGGAACTAGGTGAAGGCAGGTGATCACTGCACAACACTGTGAGTGTGCTCAATACCACTGAAATGGATGCTTTAAAATAGTGACTTTTGGCCGGGCGCGGTGGCTCAAGCCTGTAATCCCAGCACTTTGGGAGGCCGAGGCGGGTGGATCATGAGGTCAGGAGATCGAGACTATCCTGGCTAACATGGTGAAACCCCATCTCTACTAAAAATACAAAAAACTAGCCGGGCGTGGTGGCGGGCGCCTGTAGTCTCAGCTACTTGGGAGGCTGAGGCGGGAGAATGGCGTGAACCCGGGAGGCGGAGCTTGCAGTGAGCCGAGATCATGCCACTGCACTCCAGCCTGGGAGACACAGCGAGCCTCCGTCTCAAAAAAAAAAAAAAAAAAATAGTGACTTTTACGTTATATAAATTTCACCTGAAAAAAATAAATTGGTCAGGCATGGTGGCTCACGCCTGTCATCCCAGCACTTTGGGAGACCAAGGCAGGCAGATCACTTGAGGACAAGAGTTCGAGATGAGCCTGGACAACATGGTGAAACCCCGTCTCTACTAAAAATACAAAAATTAGCTGGGCCTGGTGGAGGGCGCCCATAGTCCTAGCTACTCAGGAGGCAGGGGTTGCAGTGAGCCAAGATCACACCACTGCACTCCAGCCTGGGTAGCAGAGCAAGACTCCGTCTCAAAAAATAAAATAAATAAATAAATTAGCAGGCAATGTGATCCCACCACACTCCAGGGTGGGATGCAGGCAGTGACTGGACCTAGGGAGGGGAGCCACCTCCAGAAGGGAACGGGACCGAGGATGGGTGTAACATGGATGGACGGCCATCCTTCCCAGTTACATGGCTTCCATCCCGGTGTGTGTGGACACAAGTCCCGCCACGTGAAACTTCTGAGCCAGGACTGGACACAGTCTAAAGACTGGTCCAGGAAACACTGAACTTTACCTGTTGAAGTTGTCTGCTGTTCTGCAAAGGGGTCATTCTGGAACGGGTCGCCTGGGTGGGAGAGGAGAGAAATGCTTATTAGCTTTAGGGCATAGGACGCGGGCTGGGCCCTTGAACACAGCCACCCACCTGCCAGGCCTTTCGTTGCCTTCTACTCCTCCAACGTAGGGAGAGAATGTTATTTCCTTCTCTTGCCCTCCATAGAAATAATATTATTTCTATCCACCTGCCCTCGAAACCTTGGCAAATCAAAGAGGGGGACCTGGAGGAGGCAGCTGTTTCTGGCTGGAATGTTTAAGATGAGAAGGAAGGTACTGGTGGCTGTCCCACACAGGCTGGAGTAGGGGAAGACACAGAGCGGGCTAGAATCCACTCCTCTCTTCCCATGCCGGGTTTCCTTTATCCCATCTGCCTGCCACCTCCCTGGGTAAGAGGACACAGGACCCTGGGCTGTCCCTCACTTCACCACCAGCCCTGCAGCAATGAGGCGGTGGCACCCCTGGGCGTCAGGGGCTGCTGGATTCGCCTCTCAGACCTGGCAGGCTTCAACTCCAAGCTGAAGCTCAAACTTCCACTGTTCTCTCCCCACCTCAGTGTTTTTCTCAGAAATGTACAGAGAGCCTTCCTCCTGGAAACACTGTTTTGCTCTGAAACATGGAGATAAATTAGGACATCTTGTTTCCGGAATTCTTAGTTATTCTTGATTCAGGTGTGGCTCTGGATAGACTCCTAAAATTATCCAGACCTTACGTTTATGTAGGAACCCATGGTTTGCCAGGTACTTTCATGATCATTACTAGCTCTGATTATTTTATCAACCCTGTGAGGTGAGCAAGGAGCAAATTTATTAACCTGCTGAGGGATGAGGAAATTGAAGTACTGAAGAGTTGAAGGGGACTGGCCAAGCTGCTTTCAAATGTGGGTCTTGTGGTGAGCTTGGAACGCTTCCCACTGTGTCTCGATGCCTTGGCTCTCTGGTTAACAGGGTGAGATAAGAAGCTTAAAAGGCATTCCTGCCGGGCACGGTGGCTCACACCTGTAATCCCAGCACTTTGTGGGGCTGAGGTGGCTGGATCACCTGAGGTCAAGAGTTCGAGACCAGCCTGGGCAACACGGTGAAACCCCGACTCTACTAAAAATACAAAAATTAGCCGGGTGGGGTGATGGGCGCCTGTAATCCCAGCTACTCGGGAGGCTGAGGCAGGAGAATTGTTTGAACCCAGGAGGCGGAGGTTGCAGTGAGCCGAGATTGCGCCACTGCACTCCAGCCTGGGTGACAGCGAGAGTTCGTCTCCAAACAAAACAAAACAAAACAAAACAAAAAGGCGTTCCTTTCCCCCTCCATTTCAGACTGTGGCATGTCCTTACTTTTCTAGCCCTTCAACCATTCTAAATTTGACAGAAAACACACAGTATTTCAATGAGAAAGTGGGTAGCAAGTGAGATACCTTTGAAGGGATCAGCTCCTTTAAATGGGTCAGATTTGAAGGGGTCTTCTGTCTGGAAAGGATCCGGATGCAGCTCTTGCGTGTTGTTGCTAAATAACAAGGCTTTATTTTTGAAAGGATCATCCTATAATTTTGTGAAGAAACAGGACAAGGATTTGATTATTTCTGAGTTAAAGCAAAGGACGGAATTCCATACTTAACTCACATTTCCACTTTGAGTAGCATGACCCTAAAAAGAATGATTCAGCCAGGAGTTCGAGACTGGCCTGGGCAACATAGCAAAAGCCCATCTCTATAAAAACAAAAATTTAAAAATGTGGCCAGGCGCGGGCTCATGCCTGTAATCCCAGCACTCTGGGAGGCCAAAGCGGGCGGATCACCTGAGGTCAGCAGTTCAAGACCAGCCTGGCCAACATGGTGAAACCCTGTCTTTACTAAAAATACAAAAAATTAGCTGGGGGTGGTGGCAGGCACCTGTAATTGCAGCTACTTGGGAGGCTGAGGCAGGAGAACTGCTTGAACCCAGGAGGCGGAGGTTGCAGTGAGCTGAGATTGCGCCACTGCACTCCAGCCTGGGTGACAGAGTAAGTGAGATTCTGCCTCAAAAAAAAAAAAAAGGCCAGGTATGGTGGCATGTACCCATAGTCCCAGCTACTTGGGAGGCTGACTCACGAGATTGCTTGAACCCAGGAGGTGGAGGTTACAGTGAGCTACGATTGTGCCACTGCACTCCAGCCACAACAATGCAAGACCCTGTATCTTTAAAAAAAAATAAAGATCACTGAAGAAATATGAACTGGAGTGAATAATAATGTTCAATACTGGTTCATTGGTCGTGACGAATGTACTGTATGTGATGCGACTAACAGGAGGAACCAGGTGTGGGATATAGAGGAACTATGCACTATCTTGCAGTTTTTCTTTTTCTGAAACAGGGTCTCACTCTGTTGTCCAGGTTGGAGTGCAGTTGCATGCTCATGGCTTACTCCAGCCTTGACCATTTGGGCTCAAGTGATCCTCCCACATTGGTCTCCTGAGTAGCCGGGACTACAGGCGTGCACCACCAAGCCTGGCTAATTTTTATATTTTTTGTAGAAATGAAGTATCTCACTATGTTGCCAGGGCTGGTTTTGAACTCGTGAGCTCAGCTGATCCTCCCACCTCAGCCTCCCAGTGTGCTGGGATTATAGGCATGAGCCACCACACCTGGCCTATCTTCGCAATTTTTTCATAAATCTAAAAACTATTCTAAAATAAAAGTTCATTAAAAAATCATTGAGTGGAAGCAACTTCAATGTCCATTGATGAATGAATGGATAAACGAAATGGAAAAACAAAATTTTTTTCTGAGTCAGAAAAAAATAATGAATTTGGAAATGTCATCAAGAAAATTGTAAAGAGCCACACAACAGAATCTGATCCAGACTTCAAAAGGAAGCAAATTCTGACACATGCTCCAACATGGAAGAACCTTGAGGACAGGATGCTGAGTGAAATAACAGTCACAAAACGATGCACAAGGTATGACTCCTCTTCTATGAGGACCATAGAGCCATCACGTTCACAGTGACAAAGTAGAACAGTGGTTGCCAGGGGCTGTGGGTAGGGGGATGGGGAGTGGGTATTTCATGGGGATGAAAACGTTTTAGAGCTGGGTTCCACAACAATGTGAATACACCTAACACTACCGAACTATACACTTAAAGACAGTGAAGATGGTCAAGTTTATGTCTTTTTTTTTTTTTTTGAGACAGAGTTTCACTCTTGTCACCCAGGCTGGAATGCAGTGGCACAATCTTGGCTCACTGCAACCTCCACCTCCCAGGTTCAAGTGATTCTCCTGCCTCAGCCTCCCGAGTAGCTGGGATTACAGGCGCACGCCACCATGCCCAGCTAATTTTTGTATTTTTAGTAGAGACGGGGTTTCACCATATTGAGCAGGCCAGTATTGAACTCCTGACCTCAAGTGATCCACCAGCCTCGGCCTCCCAAAGTGCTGGGATTACAGGTGTGAGCCACCATGCCCGGCCGTTTATGTCTATTTTACCTGAAATTTAAACAATATTTTTTTACCCACTGAGTCAGAAAAAAATAATACATTTGGAAATGCCATCAAGAAAACTGCAAAGAGTCACTCAACGACAGCAGCACAGGCCTCATTTCAAAGGTGTGACCTTCCTCAATCATCCTTTTCTCGGTGAGTATGTACCCAGGTGGGTATTTGAGAAAATGGAGTTTTCATACCAAGAAACATGCTGGTTGTTTCTGTGCTATGAGGAAATAAGTACTCATGCAGTTAGAATTACTAGAGCATACACAACGCTTTGCATTTTTTTTAAAGGTGTGTATTTCTAGAAACAAACAGGTTCATTTAAACAAGAAGAAAAAAATATTTACTTTTGAAGAGCACATTTTTGTAGTGGGAAGTAGCCTGAAAAGGGTGGGTTTGTCATATACACGGGAACAATGCAGTTGGTTTAAATAAGGACTCTGTTTTAGTTAATAAAGACACACCCTCAGTGAAAACATGAATGTTTCACTGTGATATTAAAAAAACAGCACAACACCCTCACTGAATTTGGCACACACACTGGCATCCCTGTGTGGGGCTCACACACCAGTCCAGTATTCCAACCGACCAAAACAAAATCATTAAAAAGCTGGGGCTTCCACGAAAATAGGGACAAATGGTTTGGGGCAATGACATCAAAGGTTCAAAAGAAAGTTTCCTGGCAAGGCTGCCACCACTCTGGGGCAGCCAACTTAGGGGTGCAGGACAATTCTGAGAGGTACAGAGTTAAGACGAGCCACTGGTCCAGGCTGTGAATGAGTGAATTAGTGTGAGTGCTTCTTCCTCAGTCCCCGCTTCGGGAGAATGCACCCACATCCCTGCCATCTGATGAACACGGAATGGTTTTTCTTACCTGGGAAACATTAGCTGGAGCCTCCGACCACAGGGTTTTCCCAAGGTGGGGAAACCAAGCCAGGTTCTTAGACAAGTTAAGTACAGATGTCCACAAGCACCGCAGCTGGAGACAGTGCTGAGTGGACGTCAGGTGCTGACCACCACAAGACACACACGCCCAGCGAGCATCTGATGGGGTTCTCGGACGCAGACAAAGATGGAGAAGTCCTACTCTAAGGAGGCCAGGAGGCCCACGTGGAAACTCCGCCTCTCACACTGCTCCATGGAAGGAGGAATGTATTTGTTCCAGAAGAAAGAGAGGGATCATGACCTGGATAAAGCAGTGAGTTAAGAATGCCAGTCTGACCTCAGAAGGAAAGCTTCTATTTAGTTTGTTTGTTTTTAAAGGTAGGATCTCACTGTGCTGCCCAGGCTGGAGGGCAATGGCTATTCAATCAGCATGGGAGTTTTGACCTGCTCCGTTTCTGATCAGGGCAGGTTTACCTCTCCTTAGGCGACTGGTGGTCCCCTGCTCCCAGAAGGTACCGTACTGATGACTTAGTGTAGACACCCAATGAGCATAGCACACTACAGCCCAGAACTCCCGGGCTCAAGGATCCTCCTGCCTCAGCCTCCCAAGTAGCTGGGCCTACAGGCACTCGCCACCATGCCTGGCTCTATTTAGTTTTTCATTGGCATTTATTTATAAGGTTTTCTTTTTTTTCAGTGTTTTCAGTCATCACTTGGAAGACTTCCAAATAACAGTTAACAATGGCAGAAAAGAGACTTAAGGTTCTGGGAACGCAGGTTGCAAGCCCCCTACACTGATAGTCAGGCCTGCAATCCCTTTCTCAGGAGTCACTGGCCTGAAACCACAATCACTCCTTCCCCTTCTAAGGGGAAGCCTGAGACCCCAGCAGGATTCAGGAGGTCAGGGTACCTAAAGGTGGTTTTGATTCCATTGCACAGAATCAGAGTGGGAAATGGGATTTCCCTGTTACAAAGATACCATCCATTCTACCCCCTGCAGACCACCTACCAAGGAGAAAAGACCCATCTGCCAACCTGGGGGACACGAGTACAGCAGACAAAGGCCAGGATGAATGACACGGCCCTTCGCACAGATGTAGTATCTTGAACAAGTTCAGCAACCAGTGTGAAGTAGTGCCCTTCTTAGGAAATACACATGGTAACTCTGAAAGGGGGCTCAAGAAGCTTCTGTGACATTCCTGCCTTTAGAGGAGTGCTGGGCAGCAGGGGTGTGCTGGGAATCAGTTCTCTCAGAGAAAAGCCCTGGTTTAGAGCTTCTGCCAATTCCTGTGGTATAAACAGTCTCACTGTGGTTGATTTCAAGTTTCCAAGCAACCAGCTCACAAGTTCCTGTTTTTTGTTTTTTGGGGTTTTTTTAAGAGATTGAGTCTCGCTGTGTCACCCAGGCTGGAGTGCAGTGGCACACACCTGGCCTCAAGCAATCCTCCCACCTCAGCCTCCCAAAGGACTGGGATTACAGGTGTGAGCCACTGTGCCCGGCCAGTTTCTATTTAATAATCGGTTCTGGAAAGTCAATAAAAACTGGCTCCAGCATGCCACTGGGGCTGGATATGACAGATGATCCAACCTTTCTTAATCTGTCCTCAGTAAGACCTAAGTCTGGGATGACTTATTAGCTTCTCTCTACAAGTTGATTGGATGGTGAGCAAGAGGCCAATATTCTCATAATCAGATGAGAGACAAGAAATAAATATGGTTTTAAGAACCCTGACTTTGGCGGGGTGCCGTGGCTCACGCCTCTAATCCCAGCATTTGGGGAGGCCGAGGCGGGCGGATTGCCTGAGGTCGGGAGTTTGAGATCAGCCTGGGCAACACTGCAAAACCTCGTCTCTACTAAAAATACAAAAATGAGCTGGGCGTGGTGGCACGTGCCTGTAGTCTCTGCTACTTGGGAGGCCGAGGCAGGAGAATCACTTGGACCCAGGAGGCCGAGGTTGCAGTGAGCTGAGATCGTGCCACTGCACTCCAGTCTGGGAGACAGAGTAGAGACACTCAGTCTCAAAAAAAAAAAACAAACAAAAAACCCTGACTTTTGAGATAAAGTCACACTGCGTGAGTTTCACATGGAATTTAGTAACTTGAGTAGAACTGTCCAAACATAGGAAGTTTCAGAGGTACCACTGTGGATACACTATTCTTAGGGACTTAAAATCCCCAACTTCAACCCACAAGGGAGAACTAAGGCACCTCTCCCTCAGCTCTGAAGCAGTCTTGAAGTGTTCAGGAGTAAACAAAAATCTCTCTTCCAAGTATTTATTAAGAAATAGAAACAAGTCAGAAAAACGCTTTAAAAACTGTATTTGTACAACAAGATAAAGACAGTTTTTCTTTCGGACGCCGGTTGCAAATTTCCATGTAACATATCTTATATCTACATTCCCAAAGTAATTGTCTCTCATGTAACCTTTGCCCTGCCCAAAAGATGAACAAAAATAACAAGAAAGGTAAAAATCTGTCTTTGGAGTTGGGGGAATCACTGGCCTCTTGCAAACTGCCACTTCACTGCCAACTTTTATCCAAGAAAACCGGTTTCTAAAAACCTGCAAAAGGGACGTTGACGAGGAAGCTGTTCCCTGAACGAAGACTGAGCAGGACAAGCCAAAAGCAGTGCCAGGGGACAATGCCAGATGGGGAAAGTAGGAACCGGGTTGTGAGGCGGAAACACACACGCCAAGAACAGTCAGGGAGCAAAGCGAGGAGTTCTGGCTTCTCGTAATTCATGAAGGATGAATGCTCATCGTTTAAATTTAGACGATAAAGCTGAAGATGACGGGCCCGGGGGCGGCTATGGAAGCCACCTCATTACGAGTCCACGAGAAAAGAGAGTATGGGAGGAAAGAGGGAGGCAGTACACCCAGTGTGGGCCAGACACAAGAGACAGATGAGCTCGCCAGCAGGGCCTTCCCAGCAGCCCAGGGGATGCGTGTGCTTCCCCATAAATCCTTGGGACTGAGGACTCGGCTGCTGAGAAGAGGAACAAGTCAAGCATTGAACATAAAGAGGCAAGTGTGGTGTTTAGAGAGCATGAGCGCTCACTCTTATTCCAGGGAGGAGGAGGAATCCATGACGAACACAGACCCAGGAGCAGAAGGGCTCCAGGGAGGAGCCCGGGGAGAGAGGGTGGCAGCACGGAGAGAGCTGCTCGAGGCAGCAGAGCACCAAGGAAACATCCAGACCGCGCGGCCCAGCCCATCCGCTCCCGCAACAGCACCAAGACAAAATGGGAAGCCGCATGTCCCCAGGTTTGAGGCTGCAGGGGCAGACTCTGGCATGAACAGGGGGGATGTGACCACCTAGGAAAAGATCACACCTGTCTTGGTATCAGGGGCTCGAGATCTCTCAAAAATCTAGGGGGCCAACAGTCCCCTGCCCCAGGCCTGATCACAACTCTAAGGTCATGAGATGGGAGTAAAGTGCAGAGGTTTTTAAACATAATCAAAATTTCAGGAGAGGCCAATTCTTAGTTGAAACAGGAACACCCTGGGAGGGCTGCCTGCCATTATTTCCTCATCTTTAGCAACACATTTGCTTTTCAAGGTGTTCCTTGTGGAAACACACATATACATAGACACATACCCCTCAGATGTCCCCTGCCCCCGATCAGTAGAATGTGGGGTTTCCACAATGAGTAGAAACGGATCCAATTTTGGTTAAGTTTGAGAAGCCCTCTGAATTTGGGTGGTTGGCCCAGTGTAATGCTGCCGCAGAGATGGAGCGCTTTCAAAACAGGTTTTGAAAGGATCCTGGCCTATCTTGGACTTTGTTCTGGAAGCCAGGATTCAGCATGGCCACCTGTGCCAGGCTGCGAGGCTTGGTGTGAACGCACAAAGTGGCAGCAAAACCAAGAGACAGCCGCCTGCGCTTGGATGGAACCAACGTTGGCCATGAACAGATCTGGCGGGTGGGATGTTCTGCTGTCACACCCGGGGACCAGAGCCCCGTACTGTAATACATTTATTCAACCTTTACCATGGCTCCAAAACCGCCCCTCTCTGCCAGGGAGACGCCTTCGCTCAGGTCGGCCAGGTCGGTCAGGCTGGCGCCATGGGCTCCATCGAGCACCTGGTCATACTGCTCCAGGCTCCTGTGGGCCTCCTGGCGGCTTTCGTGCAGCTGGGAAAGTTTGCTCCTTGCCTGTGCAACAAAGACATCATCAGCATTAAACAGGGTCAGGAAAATATGTCAGGAAAGACTTTTTTTTTTAAGACACAGGGTCTCACTCTATTGCCCAGACTGGCGTGCAGTGGAGTGATCATAGCTCACTGTAGCCTTGAGCTCCTGGGCTCAGAAACTCCTCCTGCCTTAGCCTCCTGAGTAGCTGGGACTACGGGCGCACGTCACCACCTATATTTTTGGGCAACATACCGAGGCCCCATCTCTACAAAAAATGTATCTTTTGTAGAGATGGGGTCTCACTATGTTGCCCAGTCTGGTCTTGAACTCCTGGCCTCAAGTGATCCTCCTGCCTCCTAAAGTACTGGGATGACAGGTGTAAGGCACTGCACTGAGCAAAGCAACATATCTTTGCTCCTGACACCCAACTACAAACTCTAAGGGTTAGAAAGCACTGAAAGTAATCCTACAGATATTAACCATAAAGCACAAGAAAAGGCAGTAAATCTCTGAGCAGTCCATGTTTATGATCAACTGTGGCCTATAAACTGGCTAACAGAGCACAGAGAGAGACCGGTTCAATTGGGAAAGGAAGTGTGCCTGGCCACTCCCAAACAGGCCGAGGGCCTGTGTCACAACCACTCTGCAGACTGGATGCCCAGGGCCAGGACAGAGGCCTTCAACTACTGCCCACAGGAGAGCAGGGAAAGGCAAAAGCTGCAGGCCACGAGAAGCCAGCACCACCCTGGACTGGGAGGAGGGTGGGGGCACCCCAGACAGCTTCGAGAATGGGGGTCCTGCATGGTGCAATGCTCCAGGGTGGTGCCTCCTGAACACACCAGTGACTGCAGAGGACATTGTTCTCTTGCCCAGGGACAAAGGAGTCATCTCTCTGACTTTGTCCCTCTTGTTTGTGTGAGGACCAGGCTGGAAGGAACCCCAAGGTCTCTCCAAATGAGTCATTAATTAAAAGTTCCCACCCCGCCCCGCCTACTCCCTGAAGATGCTGTGTGCTCAGGAAAGGAAAGTGAACTCCTCCAGGCAATGCCAACACCCTCTGGAACATGCCCTGGGGAGTTCTTGGCCCTGCGCCTCCAGGCCAGCACCACGGCCTCCCAAAAGAGACCTTCACTAAGTAACAAGGGTGAGAGCAAAGGAGTCCAGCAGTGGCAGCCTCAGCTCTTGGGGCTCGCTGGTCCATGGCATGTGGCAGGGACCCGGCTCCACAGAAGCACCTGGTTGATTTCGTCTTGCGTTGACTTCAGGGACTTGATAATGGTTTCCAGCTGGACTCGCCCAGCCTGAATGCTCTGCTCCAGCTGGGTTTCCTCCTGCTGCAATCGGTTCAGCTCGGACTTGGCTCGGTTCAGATCGTCTTCCTGGGACTTTAAGTCCGATTCCTGAGACTGGATTTGCGTTTTCAATGATGAGATCTGAAATGAGATGTTAAAAGATGTTAAAGGGATTCACAGTGCATGATGAAATGGGACTCCGAGAAAGAACTCATAGCCCCCATCCCTGAAACAAGCTAACCCAGGGAGGCGGACACCTAACCCAGGCCCAGACACCTGGCTTCCTTACAGGCCTCTTTCCACACTCAAAACAGAGACACAGAAAAGGCAGACGGGCTCCTCCCGCTGTGGCTAATGGAAGATCACTTTGGAATAATGAGGGGCATGACCAAGCATGAACGATCTGTCCATGACCCGGGAGACTGAGCATCCCCATAGTTTTCTGAGGTTGCAGCCTCTGGAATCTGTGTGGAGCCTCAGAGACACCCGAGGAGGGGAGACAGGCACCCTGGAACTCCCTGTGTTGTGGGGCACAGGCAGGGTGGGGTGTGTTCAGGGCACAGGTTCACAGGGACCAAGGCCATTCACATATACAACCTGACTTCTAGGAGCACGGCGGGTGGCCAGGAAGTCAAGCCACTGGTGCTCGGACACTTCTGCGTGGTATTTGGAGCAACTCTATTGACCCAGCAGGATGTCTAAGTGTTGTGTTCTCAGGTAACATGAGCGCAGGGGAGCCCTCGGGAACCCCTGCCCATGCGCAGGGCGCTGCCCCGGACGTGGCTGGGACCCACCATCTGAGTCTCGTCCTGGCACTTCTGCCGGACATCACTCAGCATGTCTCGGAGCTTGGCCTTCTGCTGGTCCATCTCGTCCAGGCGGTCTTGAGCATCCTGTTTCTGAGCCTCAAGCTCCTGCAAACTGCTTGTTTCCCGGTCTAGGTCATTTTGTAATTCCTAGGGAGGAGTTGCAGGGATTTACGTGAGGATGGGAAAAATGAAGCATGTTCAAGATAACAGGAGGGCAGCCTGGGCCAGAAGCCCCAGGGAAGCCTCCGAAACCACATGGCAGGACCGTGCTCAGGGCCAGCATTCCGTGCACACCCACGGCCAATGTGTGCCTCTTGGGCTGGAGGCCCGGGTCCACTCTCTCAACAGCTCCCTCAGCAGGTATTTCTCGATGGCCTGACAGGCCAGGTGCCAGAGAAGGGGCTGGGTCCCCGTGAGAAAAAGGCCCCAGCTCCCGGATGACTGTGGAGGGGAACATCACCCAAACACAAATAAACGGGGACAAGTGGCACCAAGGGGGTCACAGGGAAACTGCAGTCACACCTTGTGGGCAGGGAAGATGCCCACAAAAGCAACATTTAGGGTGGTGCCAACAGGTGAGCAGGTGTCAGGCAGGGGAAGGGCCAGGGGCAGAGCCTGGTGGAGGGAACCACAGGGGCCCTGAGGTGGGGGGATGTCGCACTCCAGTTGGAGCAAAAGGGAACGGGCCGAGCCATCAGAGGCTGCACCCCACAGGCCACGCCAAGGAGATGGTGCTGGGCTCTGCAGTGGGGAGGTGGGATGTGCAAGCGTGGGAGGCAGGACATCATGATTCTGTTTCTGAAGCTCTCTCTGACCCCGTGGGATGGATCCAGATGGTCAGCCCGAGGCTCTACCGCCCCATGATTCCACTTCCAAGAAAAGCATCCTGGAGGCATATGACATGTGCAGAGGCACACAATGTCTTTGACAGCAAAATCCGTAAACAATGCAGATGTCCATGAGGTACTGGCTGGAAGGTTCCAGCACAGCCCACACTGTGGGATGCTCCTTGGCCATGGAACAGGATGGCGCCAGGTGCTCTGCCTTACAGTAGGACAAGAGCACATTGCATTTGTGTGAACAGGAAGGGAAGGGTATGCCTTTCTGGAAGGCCCCCACCCCAAGGAGCTCATAAACAGCACCTCCAGGGATGGGGGCACCCAAGGAGAGGGCAGAGGCTTCTCACCTCCTGATTTTCAACTGTGCAAATGCATTATCTGTCTTTAAGATAAATAACCAAAGCTGAAATAGCACAAACGGGCATTGTGAGAAGCCCCCTCCCTCCAGCTGCCATGTGGAGCATGATACAAGGGGCTATCAGGACGCAGGAACTGCAGGGGCCTCGTGTGGGGTCCAGGGAGAGGCAGCGGCAGCCCAAGGTGGTGGTCATGAGAATGGACAGGACGGGTGGGTTTGCGGGGAGCCATGGCTGGGCGGTGGGGCTGAATCCCAGAGCCGGTCTGGGCTGCTGGGGTGGCTGGTGCCTTAAGATAAGAAAACCAGGGGTGGCCCGGGGTCTCCTCACTACAGGGACAAAGACGTCATGGCACTTCCCTGCTTCAATGGGCAAATCATGCCTCAGGAAGCTGGGGTGTCCGCTCCTCAGCCTCCCTGCCTCTGGCCTTTCACTTGAGGGCTGGATCTGGAGGGGACAATCAGGGTCACTTCTGGACATGTTCGACAGGAAACTCGGGAGAAAGACTCCAGCCAGTGTGCCAGGAAGGGAAGACGCTGGAAACACAGTCAGGCGTGTCAGCATCAAGGTGGTATTTAAACATGTGGGAATGGGTGAGGTGTCCAGTGGGAGGCACGGGGAGAGCCTGAGGTAGCCCAATGCTCCAAGCGATGCTCCCACCAGGGATGGAAGCCTCTAGAGCCTCCTAAGTAAAACCCTGGCCCCACCACCGGGTAACGCTGGCAGCAACTCCCTGATGTCCTGGGCCTCAGGGTTCTAGTTAGGGCCACACTGGCTCCTTCCAGGCCACAGCCCATGGCTCCAGGACACCAGAGGCTCCAATGCCTTTGGCCTGCCCAGAGAAGGTCCCTCCTTTACGTCCCCCTCAAACCAAAGATGACAAAATGTGTATACCACACACTTCATGCACAGAGCAGAGAATATTTGCCCAGAAGAGGCATGACAGGAGGACAAGAGGGAACTCACTGGCCACGTGCCATGTACTGAATGTCTGCTGTTGAAATTCTCACCCCCAAGATGATGGTATTAGGTGTGGGGCCTCTAGGAGGTGATTAGGTCATAAGGGTTCAGCCCTTGTGAGTGGGATTAGTGGCCTTATAAAAGAGGCCCCTGATAGCTGCCTCAATCTTTCCACTGAGTGAGGACACAGCAAGAAGGTGCTGCCTATGAACCAGGAAGTGGGTCCTCACCAGATGCTGAATCTGCAGACCCCTTGATCCTGGACTTCCCAGCCCCGTGAACTGCGAGCAGTAAACTTCTGTTGTTTATAAACCACCCAGTGCATGGTGTGCTGTTATGGCAAGCTGAATGGACTAAGACACACACGACATGTCAGTGTCTGCAGTGACAAAGGTGCTCAGGGTACCTCACCATTTCTCTAAGAGGGTTCTCACAGTCTAAATCCCTCCTCAGAAGCTCCTGCCCTGCTCACTCTTGGCTCTCCCTTACCTTTCTTCTCCCTGCTCCCCAGCATTTTCTTTTTTTCTTTTGAGACAGAATCTCACTCTGTCACCCAGGCTGGAGTGCAGTGGTGCAGTCTCAGTTCACTGCAACCTCCGCCTCCTGGGTTCAAGGGATTCTCAGGCCTCAGTCTCCCAAGTAGCTGGGACTACAGGTGTACACCACCACGCCCAGTGGTTGGTTGTTTTTTTTTTTTTTTTGATTTTTAGTATAGACTGGGTTTCACCATGTTGGACCAGGTTGGTCTTGAACTCCTGGCTTCAAGTGATCATCCGGCTTTGGTCTCCGAAAGTGCTGGGATTACAGGTGTGAGCCACCGTGCCCAGCCTTCTTTTCCTCTTCTTGATTCTTGCTTTCTCCCTCCCTGATATATAAATCAATAAAACTGAAATACACAATTGTTTAAACCTTGCTGGGTAATTTTTTGCACATAGTTTCTCCTGCATTTAGGAAACTGAGCTGCAGTTTCCTTCAGGGCAGTCTCTGTCTTCCCCCTTCATTGAAAAAGGTCATTGTTCAGTCAGGCCACAGCGCAGCCAACCTCCGTGACGTGACAACTCCTGGATTCCCCTAGACACTAGTGGAGACCCTAGGCCAGAAGGGGTGGCTGCTGATGGGATGGGGCTGTGTCTCCAAAACCCTGAACTGAGGCATCAAGTCTAACAAGTTTGGGGGTGAACACTGAATAACTGAAACAGAGTTAGTTGTGGGAGTCAGGGGTGTGGGGTGGCCACATCTAAGGGGAGTAATGGATAAGGGAGGGGAAGATGGGAAGAGGGTTAGGCCCGGTGTTACCTGGACACCAGGTAACAATAGTGTGGAACTGAAGGAATCTGGACCTCATTCCGTAATGGAGAAGGAGCCACCAGAAAGTCCCAGAGGGACAAAGATCCACCAGCTTGAGGTTAGGAAGGGGAGCAAAGAAAAGACAAAAACAACCCCAAGAGGCCACGGAGTCCACACAATCCCTGTCAGAATCCCAGCTGGCTTCTTTGCAGAAACAGACCAGCTGATTCCAAAATTCATACGGGGCCAGGCACGGTGGCTCACGTCTATAATCCCAGCACTTTGGGAGGCCAAGGCAGGCAGATCACCTGAGGTCAGGTGTTTGAGACCAGCCTGGCCAACATGGTGAAACCCAGCCTCTACTAAAAATACAAAAATTAGCTGGGTGTGGTGGCACGCACCTGTATTCCCAGCTACTCGGGAGGCTGAGGCAGGAGAATCACTTGAACCCAGGAGGCAGAGGTTGCAGTGAGCTGAGACAGCATCACTGCACTCCGGCCTGGGCGACAGAGTGAGACTCTGTCTCAAGAAAAAAAAAAAATCATATGGAAACACACGGGACCCAGAATAGCCATGACAATACCGACAGAGAAAAAAAAGATGGAGGATGCCCATTTCCTGATTTCAAAACTTCTACAGAGCTGCAGTAATCAAGCCAGTGATGTAGTGGCATGATGAGATGCAGATAGGTCAATGGGATAGAAATAAATGCACACAGCTACAGTAACTCATCCTTGACAAGGATGCCAGGGCCATTCAATGGGGGAAAGAAGAGTCTCTTCAACAAATGGCACTGGCCCAGCATGGTGGCTCACACCTGTAATCCCAACACTTTGAGAGGCCAGAGTGGGAAGATCCCTAGAGGCCAGGTGTTTGAGATGAGCCTGAGCAACAGAGTGAGATCCTGTCTCTAAAAAAACAAAGAAAAATGTTTTTGAATTAGCTAGGTGTGGCAGGGCACACCCTGTAGTCCTAGCTACTCAGGAAGCTGATGCAGGAGAATCCCCTGAGCCCAGGAGTTGGAGGCTGCAGTGAACAAGAATCACACCACTGCACTTCAGCCTGGGCAACAGAGCGAGACTCTGTCTCTAAAAACAATTTTTTTAAGTAAAATAATAAAAACAATGGTGCCAGGACAACTAGATGTCCACATGCAAAAGAATGACGTTGCATCCCTGCCTTATTCTATATACAAAAATTAACTAGAAATGGATCAAAGACCTACATGGAAAAGCGAAAACTATAAAACTCTTAGAAGAAAACACAGGGGTGCGACAGCAGCAAAAAAATAAACTGGACTTCACCAACATTAAAAACTTGTGCTTCAAAAGACACCATCGAGAATGTGGAAAGACAATCCACAGAGTGGACTCTCAGTGGATGCTGAGAAGGTATTTGCAAGTCACATATCTGACAAGGACTTCTACCTAGAAATGATAAAGAACTTTTCAAATTCAGCTCTAGCTATAGGCCAGGGCAGTGGCTTCCGCCTGTAATCCCAGCACTTTGGGAGGCCGAGGTGGGAGGATCACCTGAGGTCAGGAGTTTGAGACCAGCCTGGCCAACGTGGTGGAACCCCATCTCTACTAAAAATACAAAAATTAGCTGGGTGTGGTGGTGCACACCTGTAATCCCAGCTACTTGGAAGGCTGAGGCAAGAGAATCACTTGAACCCGGGAGGCGGAGGTTGCAGTGAGCTGAGATAACACCACTGCACTCCAGCCTGGGCCACAGAGTGAGACTCCATCTCAAAAAAAAAAAAAAAAAAAAAAAAAAAACAGCTGTAAAAAGAACCCAATTAACTGGGTGTGGTGGCACATGCCTGTAATCCCAGCTACTCGGGAAGCTGAGGCACGAAAATCATTTGAACCTGGGAGGTGGAGGCTGCAATGAGCTGAGATCACACACTTGCATTCCAGCCTAGGCAATAGAGTGAGACTCTGTCTCAAAAAAAAAAAAAAAAAAGCAATTTAAAAATGGACATGAAAAAATATTTTTCAATACAAAAGGGCAAGGAATCGGAATTGATTTGTCTCCAAAGACTACATACAAATGGCCAATAAGCACATGGAAGGATACTCAATGTCGCTAAGGAAGCATGAGGGACATGCCAGTGAAACCCACAATGAGACAGTGCTCCACACCCACCACGACGGCTACAAGGAAAAATGGGAAATCGGTAAGTGTTGGTGAGGCTGTGCAGAGCTGGCACCCTCATACACTGCTTATGGGAATGTAAAATGGTACAGCTACTTTGAAAAACAGTCTGGCAGCTCCTCAACAGTTACCATGTGGCCCAGCAAGTTCATTCCCAGGTATACACTCGAGATAAAGGCAAACAGGTGTTCACACAAAAACTTGCAGACAAATGTTCCTAGCAACAATATTTACAAAGCCAAAAAGTGGGAAAACCCAAACATCTATCAATTGAGGTATGGATGAGTAAAATGTGGCCCATTGTGGCTGGACACGGTGGCTCATGCCTGTGATCCCAGCACTCTGGGAGGCCGAGGCGGGCAGATTGCTTGAGTCCAAGAGTTCGAGACCAGCCTGGACAACACGGTGAGACCTTGTCTTTACAAAAAAAATAAAAGATTAGCCAAGCATGGTGGTGCGTGCCTGTAGTCCCAGCAACTTGAGAAGCTGAGGTGGGAGGATCACCTGAGTCTGGGAGGCAGAAGTTGCAGTGAACCAAGGTGTGTCACTGTACTCCAGCCTGGGCAACGGAGTGAGACTCTGCCTCTTAAAACAAAAAAATGTGCTCCATCCACACAATGGAATATTATTCTGCCATAAAAAGGAATGCAATGCTAATACATGTTACAATACGGATGACCCTCAAAAACATGATGCTGAGTGGAAGAAGCCAGGCACAAAAGGTCATGTGTTGTATGATTCCACTGACAGGAGATGTCCGGAACTCCCAGGTATCCACCTGAGATAAATGCAAACAGGTGTTCACACAAAAACCTGCAGGCAATTGTTCCTAGCAACATTATTCACAACAGCCAAAAAGTGAGAAAACCCAAATATTCACCGATGGGAGGAACGGACGAAGAAAATGTGCCCCGTCGTGACCAGGTGACCGGGTACAAATCCATACACACAGAAAAAAAATGAGTAGTTGCCAGGAGCTAGAGAAAGGGGAGAATGGGAAGTAACTGCTTAATGGGGATGAGGTTTCCTTTTAGGTTAATGGAAAGTTAGTGTCAAACTCTTCCATTCACTGAAAGAGAACAGTTAATGATGAATCTTTCAGAAAGTAACCTTCCATTTACTGTTCAGGGCTGGATGTTCTTTTATGGGCCTACTGGCGCCTATGGGAGAAACATTCAGGTTCTGACTCGATAGAGTGATGGTTAATCAACACGGTGATTATGCGAAACACCACTGAAATGTACACTTCAATACAGCACATTTTACACGAATTATATCGTCATCCCTCAGATTGGTATCAAAATCTGCAGATGCTCAAGTGTGACGTAAAACGGTTTAGTGTTTGCATGTAACCTACACACATCACCTACCCTGCCACCACCCCATATTACTTATTCATTTATTTTTCAGGCAGAGTCTCACTCTGTTGCCCAGGGTGGAGTGCAATAGTGCAATCACAGCTCACTACTGCCTTCAACTCCTGGGCTCAAGTGATTCTCCCACCTCAGTCTCCTGAGTAACTGGGACTACAGACACGTGCCACTACACCCGGCTTTTGCAAATATTTTGTAGAAACGGGGTCCCACTGTGTTGCGCAGGCTGGTCTCAAATTCCTGGGCTCAAGTGATCCTCCGGCCTTGGCCTCCCAAAGTGCTGGGATTACAGGTGTGAGCCACCACAGCCAGCCTTGTATACTTTAAATTATCTGTAGGTTATTTATAATACCTAATATAATGTAAATGCTATGTAAATAGTTATATTGTACTGTTTTATCAATTTGGATTATTTTTTATTGGTTTTTTTTTTTAATCTGTGGTTGCTTAGATAAAAGGATGCAGAACCCTTGGATACAGAGGGCCAACTTGTCTCAATTTTAGAAAAAGAGAAGCCACTGTCTATGGTTATAAGCAACTTTAAAAGCTTCAGCCTGTAATTCCAGCACTTTGGGAGACTGAGGCGGGCAGACCACAAGGTCAGCAGATTGAGACCATCCTAGCCAACATGGTGAAACCCCATCTCTACTAAAATACAAAAAATTAGCCAGGCGTGGCGGTGCGTGCCTTGTAATCCCAGCTACTCAGGAGGCTGAGACAGGGGAATCACTTGAACCCGGGAGGTGGAGATTGCAGTGAGCCGAGATTGTGCCACTGCACTCCAGCCTGGCAACAGAGCAAAACTCCATTTCTAAAAAAAACCAAAAACTGAAAAAAAAAAAAAAAAAATCTTCACTCTCGCTAGGCTTGGTGGCTCACACCTCACACCTGTAATCCTAACACTTTGGGAGGCTGGGGCAGGAGAATCATTCGAGCTCAAGTGTTTGAGACCCTGTCTCTATTTGGAAAATTAAAAAAAAAAAAACTATTTTTTTAAAAAAACTTCTTCTCCGAGAAAACACCAAAACGACGGATATCACAGCAGTGGCACCCGTCGACTGTGGGTAGGACCTGTGACCATGAGAGGGATCGCTCCCAACATAACCACCCTCTAAAAGCTGCGCGCTTTCTCCACCTGGTGGCCCAAGCGCAAGTCAGATGGCGAATGACACCAATGCAGCGTGGGGGGCAGGAGGGTGGTGTCAGAGGTCCTGGGATGGGCAACTGAGGTAACTTCCACGGAGGTTTCAGCAGTGGCATCCGGGGCTGGGGTCACGGCCATGGACAGGGCCGGGGCCAGGGCCAAGGCCACGGAGCTTGCAGAGGCAAGGCCGAGGATGAGGAGTGGATGCCCGTCACCAAGCTGGGCCGCCTGGTCAAGGACGTGAAGATCAAGTCCCTGGAGGAGAGCTATCTCCTCTCCCTGCCCATTAAGGAATCTGAGATCATTGACTTTTGCCTGGGTGCCTCTCTCAAGGATGAGGTTTTCAAGATTATGCCGGTGCAGAAGCAGACCTGCGCCAGCCAGTGCACCAGATTCAAGGCATTTGTTGCTATCAGGGACTACAATGGCCACATCCGTCTGGGTGTTAAGTGCTCCAAGGAGGTGGCCACTGCCATCCACAGGGCCATCATCCCGGCCAAGCTCTCCATTGTCCCCATGTGCAGAGGCTACTAGGGGAACAAGATCAGCAAGCCCCACATTGTCCCTGGCAAGTGACAGGCTGCTGCAGCTCTGTGCTGGTGCACCTCATCCCCACGCCCAGGGGCACTGGCATCATCTCAGCGCCTGTGCCCAAGAAGCCACTCATGATGGCTGGTATTGATGACTGCTACACCTCAGCCAGGGGCTGCACCGCCACCCTGGGCAACTTCGCCAAGGCCACCTTTGATGCCATCTCTAAGATCTACGGCTACCTGACCCCCGACCTCTGGAAGGAGACTGTATTCACCACGTCTCCCTATCAGGAATTCACGGACCACCTTGTCAAAACCCACACCAGAGTCTCCGTGCAGAGGACCTAGGCTCCAGCTGTGGCTACAACACAGCGTTTTTATGCAAGAAAAATAAAGTAAATTAAGTCTGAAAAACAAACAAACAAAAAAACTGCATTCTGCAGCCCTCAAGAGCTCACGTTTGCATCCAGGGCAGACCCCCACCCCTCCCCACCACCAGCCAGGGAGGGAAGTTTTCTAAACTACATTTAGCACAAAGTAGATGTAACCAAAACGAGCGAGCGCCTTACCTGCACCTCGCTGGTTTTCTGTCTGATTGCCTCTTCCTTTTCTCGAATGTCTTGTTCCAGTGAATATTTCTCTCTGAATGTTTACAAACATTTCATGAAAACAAGAGTGAATAGTAAGCCTCCACTCCTCAAGACCCGATTCCGTTCATCCCCACAAAAGCCCCTCTGTGTGCTGGCAGAAGTCTAAGAATGAGCCCCAGTGACTGCTCGCCCTGTACGGTCCCTTCCCCGTCGACTGTGGTTAGGACCTGTGACCACGGGAGGGATCGCTCCCAACGTAACGACCCTCTAAACTGTGTGCTTTCTCCACCTGGCAGCCCAAGTGCAAGCCAGAGACATCCCACGTGCGCTAAGGACCCAACGCACCCTTGCTGACTTTGAAGGTGGAGGGGCCACACGAGGGGGAACGGGGGCAGTGTCTAGGAGCACAGAGTGGCCCTGGTTGACACTCAGCAAGGAAAAAGAGACCCTGGACCCCCAGCCGCAGGGAACTGGATTCTGCCAACACCTGAATGAGCCTGGAAACAGATTCTTCCCCTAGAGCCTCCAATAAGAGCCCAGCCCAGTCGACGCCTTGACTTCAACCTATGACACCCCAGGCAGCCCAGGAGAGCCTGTCTGGACTACTACTTTTTTTTTTTTTTTTTTTTTTTGAGACAGAGTCTCGCTCTGTCACCCAGGCTGGAGTGCAGTGGCACAATCTCGGCTCACTGCAACCTCTGCCTCCACGGTTCAAGCGATTATCCTGCCTCAGTCTCCCGAGTAGCTGGGACTACAGGCATGTGCCACCACACCCGGCTAATTTTTGTATTTTTAGTAGAGACGGGGTTTCACTGTATTAGCCAGGATGGTCTCGATCTCCTGACCTTGTGATCCACCTGCCTTGGCCTCCCAAAATACTGGTATTACAGGCGTGAGCCAACGTGCCTGGCCTTTTTTTTGTTTTTTGTTTTTGAGACAGGCTCTTGCTCTGTCACCCAGGCTGGACTGCAGTGGCACGATCATAGCTCACTGCAGCCTTAACCTCCTGGGCTCAAGCAATCCTCCCACCTTAGCCTCCTGAGTAGCTAGGACCACAGGTGTGTGCCACCAGGCCTGGCAAATTTTGTATTTTTTGTAGCCTAGGTCTCATTATGTGGCCCAGTCTGGACCTCCTGGGCTCAACCGATCCTCTCACCTTGGCCTCCCAAAGCACTGGGATTACAGGCATGAGCCATAGCACCCGGCCTTCTTTTATTTTTAAACTGAGATAGAATTCGTGCATGTATTTCCTAGCACTGCTGTAACAAATCACCAACTGGGTGGCTTGGAACAGGAAAAATTGATTACAGGTGTGAGCCACAAGGCCCAGGGTTCAGTGCCCTTATAAGAAGGACCCCAGAGAGCTCCCTTTGCTCCTTTTGCCCTGTGAGGACATGGCAAGAAGGTGACTCTCCATGAATCAGCAAATGGGCCCTCAGCAGACCGGATCTGCTGGTATCTTGAGGTTGGACTTTGCAGCCTCCAAAACTATGAGAAATCTCTGATGTTGAAGGCACCCATTCAGAGTGGTCTGTTAAAGCAGTATGAATGGACTAAGACTCTCCTCTTGTGCCCAAAGAGGCTGCCTCAGGGACAGGAACACCATGTGTCTAACAGACCCTGCCTCCTGCCCAGGGACCCAGGACTTGTGCAACAATAAGGCCCTCTCAGGGACATTTCACCAGACACAAAATAACTATGATCATCAGAATATTCATTTCCACAAGCCCAGAAACTTGCAATACAAAGTGCTCTTTAAACTGAAGGACCTGACATGCCCTTGCGGGCTCATGGCAGTGTGAAACCGTAAGAGGAAAGCTCAGGCCGGGCGCAGTGGCTCACGCCTGTAATCCCAGCACTTTGGGAGGCCGAGGCGGGCGGATCACAAGGTCAGGAGATCGAGACCATGGTGAAACCCCGTCTCTACTAAAAATAGAAAAAAGTAGCCGGGCGCAGTGGCGGGCGCCTGTAGTCCCAGCTACTCGGGAGGCTGAGGCAGGAGAATGGCGTGAACCCGGGAGGCGGAGCTTGCAGTGAGCCGAGATTGCACCACTGCACTCCAGCCTGGGCGACAGAGCGAGACTCCGTCTCAAAAAAAAAAAAAAAAAGAGGAAAGCTCAGCCCACACTCCCCCAGTCCAAGGGCCACTCTCAGAGCTACCTGCTCAAGGGGCCACTGCAGGCCCCAGCCTCCTACAGACAGGCGCTCTGCACACACCAGCCTGTCACCTCCACATTGGGGAAACAAGGCTTCTGGCTGCCTGAGGCCACACTGGGGTGATTCAAGCCCCAGCATCCCTTCCTAGACCCTGACCCTTGCACGACAGGGGCTCCCTCTATCCTTGGCCTGCCAGTCCTGATTCTCAGGCCTGCCCAGGCTCTAGCATGCTGGCCCTGCATCCTCAAGACACCCTCAGTCTTGTCAGGCTGCACATCCCTGCTGATCGCCAGTTTGGATAATGCAGCCCCCAGGAGCCAGGACAGAACAGGAACCGTCCGCTGCACTGAGCATTAAGTGGGGTGTCTGTCTCAGACCGTGGCTGAGGTTTTCTTTTCTTTTCTTTTTTTTTTTTTTTTGAGACAGAGTCTCACTCTGTCACCCAGGCTGGAGTGCAGTGGCACAATCTCGGCTCACTGCAAGCTCCGCCTCCCGGGTTCATGCCATTCTCCTGTCTCAGCCTCCCAAGTAGCTGGGACTACAAGTGCCTGCCACCACAGCGGGCTAATTTTTTGTATTTTTAGTAGAGACGGGGTTTCACCGTGTTAGTCAGGATGGTCTCGATCTCCTGACCTCATGATCCGCCGCTTGGCCTCCCAAAGTGCTGGGATTACAGGCGTGAGCCACTGCGCCCGGCCGGCTGAGGTTTTCTAACCTGCCACCCACCTTGATCCCCTCCAAGACTTAACCTGCCTTTGCTCATCAGGGCTCTGCTAACAGCACAAAACCAAACCCAGAGGAGCTGACAGAATAGTGCACCTGTTAATATGACCCCCGGGGATCCCCCAGCTAGGACTAGGATCCAGTCCTCTCTGGGAAAGTCAAAGCCCTTTCCATTTTCAGCCAAGTAAACAATCTTCTTCCCACAGAGGGCAAAGTACCTTTGGGCCCTTCTGCTTGGTGTCCCGACATCACAAGAGTCCACCCTGTCCTAGAATCAACTGGAAAAAAGATGTTGGCTGGCACAGTGGCTCACGCCTATAATCCCAGCACTTTGGGAGGCCAAGGCCAGAGGATCACTTGAGCTCAGGAGTTCGAGAGCAGCCTGGGCAACATGGCAAAACCCTATCTCTACCAAAAATCCAAAAAAATTAGCCAGGCGTGGTGGCATGCACCTGTACTCTCAGCTACCTGGGAGGCTGAGTGGGAAGATCACTTGAGCCCAGGAGGCAGAGGTTGCAGTGAGCTGAGATCACACCACTATACTCCAGCCTAGGTGACAGAGTGAGATTCTGTCTCAAATTAAAAAAAAAAAAAAAAAAAAATCTAGCTGGCATGGTGGTGCGTCCTAGCTACTCAGGAGGCTGAGGTGGGAGGATTGCTTAAGCCCAGCAGACAGAGGCTACAGTAAGCCATGATCACGCCACTACACTCCAGCCTGGGTGAGAGCAAGATCCTGTCTAAAAAATAAACAACAAAAAAGGATGTCATTCGTGAAGAGGATCCAGAGCGGAATACAGGAAGTGACTTCATTTCTTTATACCAGACTCTAAAAGTGCAGACAGCCCATCCAAAGCCCTCGTTTACACACGAGGAAACTAAGGCACTAGGCAAGGAGGTGAGTCAGAGACCTGGAGGCCCCTTCACACCGTCAGCTGCTGGGTCCTAAGCCCGCTCCTCACCATCCGAGACCCAACTGCTCTAGCTGTCAAGGCCTTCCTAGCACTGGGGAGGGGCTGGTGCCTGGGGCTACTGAGCTGCGACCTGCCTGAGACCACACAGCTGCCACAGGCTCTGCCCATGACCTGCCTGGAACCACACAGCTGCCACGGGCTCTGCCCACGACCTGCCTGGAACCACACAGCTGCCACGGGCTCTGTCCGTGACCTGCCTGGGACCACACAGCTGCCACCCACAGGCTCTGGTCAAGACCTGCTGGGACCACACAGCTGCCAGCTCTGCCCACGACCTGTCTGGGACCACACAGCTGCCACGGGCTCTGCCCACGACCTGTCTGGGACCACACAGCTGCCACGGGCTCTGCCCATGACCTGCCTGGGACCACAGAGCTGCCACAGGCTCTGGTCAAGACCTGCCTGGGACCACACAGCTGCCACGGGCTCTGCCCACGACCTGCCTGGGACCACACAGCTGCCACGGGCTCTGTCCATGACCTGCCTGCGACCACACAGCTGCCACCCACAGGCTCTGGTCAAGACCTGCCTGGGACCACACAGTTGCCACGGGCTCTGGTCAAGACCTGCCTGGGACCACACAGCTGCCACGGGCTCTGCCCACGACCTGCCTGGGACCACACAGCTGCCACGGGCTCTGCCCACGACCTGCCTGGGACCACACAGCTGCCACGGGCTCTGCCCACGACCTGCCTGGGACCACACAGCTGCCACGGGCTCTGCCCATGACCTGCCTGGGACCACACAGCTGCCACGGGCTCTGCCCATGACCTGCCTGGGACCACACAGCTGCCACTGGCTCTGGCTGAGGCTGATTCAAATGGAAAATGTCATTCTTCAAGCCCCCTGAGCCAGTTGAGGATCTCAGAAGCTATATCTTTTCCTTCCTTCTGAATAAACCTGTGATGAGCAAACTTCCAGGTGAGTCTCTGATATTTCCGATAACAACCTGGGAGAGGTCGTGTAACATTTGGATGCGGAGGGAAGGGCCGTTTCCAACGTACCTTTGTAACTGGGCAATCTCTTGACTGATGTCATCGAGCTCCTTCACGCCAGTAAACTCCCCGGAGCCGAGAGAGCCCGAGCTGTCCTAGAATCAAATTCAGAGGCGAGATCTCTAATTAGCAATCTGACATCACCTGACAGGAGGCACCAGCAGGTCTTGGGCCCCGGGATAAAATTGTCCCGTTAGTACACAGGGTGAGGTAGCCAAAGTGCCAGCCCCCTGCCTGGGGAAATACCTGGGCAGCCAAGCCACCCTCCCAGGGGCCCCTACTGGGGAAGGAAGGGACCACAGGCAGCACCCACCACCAATTGTGGGCTGTGTGCCACCAGCGCCACCTGGTGGCAGGCGGCAGGAAGGGATGTGAATACCCCCCGGGCGTGACCAGCACTCACCGGGCCGGGCGTGCCTCTCTCTGAGGGCGGGACCATGTCCGGCGAGAGGACTTGAGGGGGGTCGATGCCTTTACTGACCTTCTGCTGAATGAAATACATAGCTAACGCGAATTGGTCTTTGCTTAACTTCCCCGTTTGCCTCGTATCGGCCAGGGCCCTGGGAGAAACGTGGGGATGCTAATTACACATCACAGGCTCCGACTCAGCCTGAACACAAGTCACCATCCCATGCTTTTCAAAAATCACAGTGACAAAAACAATGGCAGGGCGCAGTGGCAAGCCCCAGCTCCTTTCCTACTTCACATCTCCTTCCCAGAAAGTGGCCCGGGGGTTCCCCACTCCCAGCGTCCCCCACCCTAGGAGGGCTGTCGGGGCTGGAGAACCCTGAGGCCCTGCCCCTGGGCTGAGGAGCCGACCCCTTGGGAAACCTCACTAGGGCTAAGAGATGCAGCTGCCTCTTCCTTTGGTTTATCTCGTGCGTGGGGCAGGTTCTGATGCCGCATGCGTGGAGTAGACCAGCCCTTCCGTGGAAATGGGTGCGGAGACCAAGCATCCACACGCGGCTCTGGGTCATCTGAATGGCCCCGGTCACTGGCCTTCAATGGGGGTGACAGCAGCACTTTGGGGTGTCACCATGAAGGAAGAATCAGCAACGACTCTCTTTCCTTGTTATGAACAGAATGTTTATGTCCCCCCAGATTCCTATGTCCAAATCCTACCCCTCAATGGGATGGTGTTGGGAGATGGGGCCTCTGGGGTGCGATGAGGTCATGAGGGTGGAGCCTCATAAGTGGGATTAGTGCCCTTATAAAAAAGGCTCTAGAAGGCTCTCTCTGCTTCTTTTGCCATGTGAGGACACAGCGAGCAGGCGGCCATCTACAAACTAGGCAGTGAGCCCTCACAAGACACTGGATCTGCCGGTGCCTGGATCACGGACTCCCATCCTGCAGAGCTGTGAGAAACGTCTGTTTCTAAGCCACTCTGTCCGTGGCAGTTTGTCACAGCAGCCCAATGGACTAAAACACTCCTCTTGTGCCCAAATGAGGCTGCCACAGGGGCATGGCCGCAATGCACAGGACAGTCCCCCACAACTAAGCATCCTCTGCCCACATGGCTCTTGGATGTCCTGAAAGATAGGCCAAGGCAGCATTTGAATAGCAGCACACAGTGGTTCCATGGAACTGAGGTGACAGGCTCCCCGACACTCATAATCAAGGAGCCAGCCAGGGCCGGTCATGGTGGCTCACGCCTGTAATCCCAGCACTTTGGGAGCCAAAGTGGGTGGATCACCTGAGGTCAGGAGTTCGAGACCAGCTTGGCCAACATGGGGAAATCCCGTCTCTACTAAAAATACAAAAATTAGCCGAGCATGGTGGCCTGTAATCCCAGCTGCTCAGGAGGCTGAGGCACAAGAATCACTTGAACCTGGGAGGTGGAGGTTGCAGTGAGCAGAGATCGCACCAATGCACTCCAGCCTGGGCAACAGAGTGAGTCTCTGTCTCAAAAAAAAAAAAAAAAGGCGGGGGAACCAGCCAGGAAAGGAAGGAAAGGACCCTTGTTGATCAAGGATAAGGCCTTGGGGTCCGTGAAAAATGTCTTCCCTCACCCATGCCACCCTCTCAACATGGGACCTCCTTTCCCACCTCGTGTGTAGTTATGGCAGAAGCCGTTATGGCAGAAGCTCCCCCCTCTACCAAAGAGAGCTGGGACAGTACTAACAGACTTATTTATGCCCAAATGCAGTGCGTGAACAGAGTTGCGGAGAATGAGCAGATTTCAAGGAACATCGCTGATAAAGGCTGCTTTAAAATGCCTAGTTGTCCCCACAGTTGGAGGCCCTGACGATTTCACACTGCCACTATCTCTCCCCAGTCTACCCCTGCGGGCCCCAGCCTGCTCATGGGCTGCAGCTGCCTCTCCACTCCCGTCCCTTCTCTGCTCCGGCCATCTCTCAAGGAGCATGGGGTCCGAGGCCCACCTGTGGAGGGTTCTGAGAGCAAAAGGGCTTGGGGGTGGCTCAGTCGGCAGCCATCCGGCTCTGACACCACATCCTGCCCTGCTGACCTGTACGGCGGCGGCCATCGCAGGGACAAAGCCTCCATCTTCATGCTCCCCTCCTTCCAGTCCCTCCTAGGAGTTGTGTCGTCTACACTGGGTCATGGCCCCGCCCCGGGCACCCACAGACACATCTTTCCTTGTGGTTGTTTATTCGAGAGCCCAATTATCCTTTCCTTTCCCTTTGCTGCCTGCATGGAATGACCTCTGAGCTCCTTCTTTTGATCCAGGTGGATTCATGATTTCCTGTGTCATTTCCATGTCGTTACATCATGTACCAATTGCAGCATGCATTATAAATTACTTTCCCTCTACTGCCCCCTGGACATGACAGTCAGGGTGTCAGGGCACTAACCAGGAATTGTGTGTATGTTGGTTTCAGAGTTAAAGGGGACACTGTTTTTGTGGTTTCTAAAAGGGACAGTGGATCCGAGGCAGGTGAGACCCATTGTCCCTAGCCAGTCGGAGGTGGCTTGGCCGTTTGGGTGATGACTCTGTGACACCTGTTTCTCAGGCTCCCACCTCACAGTATGGACATCTGTGAATTACCACTAAGGACAGTCATTTCCCCCAAGCCACTAAGTAACATCCTGAATTTCACTGCTCTACTTGGAGGGATTTGCCTCTTGAGAATTATCCAACAATTCTCTCCTTTTGATAGCTCCCAAGTGAAGCCTTCTCTAAGGCCACAAAGTTCTGAGCAACAAGCTCAAAAGTGACTTCCGCCCTGGCCAGTGGCAAGAGGAGTGCCCCAGCCCTACAAAGTAGGCTGTGTCCAGCCCTGGGGGAAAGTGGGGGTGAGGCTGACTCCTCAACTGGGCTCTGAGGTGCAGAAAGGGTCTCCCTGTGCTCACCCGCCTGCCGGGAGCCAAAGCACTGGCCTTTCCAGAGCAGGGCCTCCCACAGGAGGCAGCTGTAGCCCCCATCCCCGTCACCACCCCCTAGGCCATTCTGCTAGAGGCTCCAAGACCCTGCTGCCCACACCTCCCGAAGGCAGCTGTGGCAAAGGCCAGGCCTCCTGCTAGAACCAGTATCATGGCCAGCAAGAACAGGGCCCAGCTGTGTGAGCAGATGGCCTGGGAGCTCTTGAGAGGGGCCAGAGGGCCCTCCTACTGGAAGACAGTGAACTGACCAGCATGGAGCATGGGCTTCAAGCCTTGGCACATGCACCTTGCTCAGCCTCTGTCAGGCCGGGGAGAATAAAGGACACCAGACACAGTGGAAGCCTGTGACAAGCTGGAAGGGGCCCCCTGACCACCACCCTCCACAGTCTTCACCCATAGGCCCCCTGGAGCAACCCACAGCCACGACTGCCACCCGTCCGGCCTCACCATATGTGTGCTAGAAGGTTCTGGGTGAGGCCCGAGTGCATGAAGATCTCCTTCACCTCCTGGCCACTCACGTAGCCGTCCAGGTCCAGATCGGTCTTCAGGAATATCTCATCAAATCGCATCTTGTCTGCCACCGGCACCACCCAGTTCACTGTTGGCTGAAACAGTTTTTGGCAAAACAGTTAACCTGGAAGCTTTTTATGACCCCCCCGACACATGCTTTTTCATGATGGGGCGATTAAAGCACTTCCATGCACATTTGGCATCAAACTCTCCTCACTTCCATGAGCTGAGGGCAGATGAGATCCTTGTTCTGTAACTGGCTAAACTGAGGCTGAGACAGGTTGAGGCCAGTGGCTCTGTGAAGCTCACGCAGATGCCAGTCTGTACCTCTCTCCACCCCATCACCCGCTCTGCTTGTCCATCTACCCTGCCACCTAGGGCGTGAGGGAGGCTGTGATCTTCAGGGGATGGGTTCAAACATGCCAGGAAAGATCCCCCTGAGCACCCACTTGGAAGGACTGTCCCCGGAGAGCCGGCCCTGCCACATGCCAGCCTCCTTGGTCCTCCCACTCTTCGTCCCCCAGAGGCTGCCCTACAAGCAGCCAAAGTGTCCCGTCCCAGGACTCTGTAGACCACTCTTCTATGTCCCTGACCCCGCTCCTGAGACAACAGATACCCCCAAGCTGTCAGTGCAGACACACCACTTACAGGTAACAAATGAGACCCCATTATCCAAGAGGGCCGCCACCCACGAGGCCCCACCAACATTCATGCACTCCCAACCCCGCCAGGGCAGACGGAGCCACAAACCCAGTGCAGCTTGAGGTTCACAGCCCCGGGGCTGGGCCACCTGCTGCACCTGCGGCCCCTCTCACCGCCGGCTAACTTGAGACAGGCAAACGCCATCATGGGTCAACCAGGGCCCAGTCACCTCCTGGTTCAGAGGCATCGAGGCCCCTCAGGCACTCGGGCAGGCCTCTTCCGTGGCCCACTCCGCCTGCATTACCGCGGGCCTTCAACAAACCCACCACGCCACAGTTCACGGCATCTGTGTCCTGAACTCTAGACATGCTTTTCCTCTTCCCGTTTTTTTTTTTTTTTAAACTAATATTTATACAAATCACTCCTTTTAAACAATCTCGTAATAGCAATGAGAATCAATACCTGATTGAATTATCTAGATGATGAGGAAGTGGAGAGAAAAAGGACAGGCAAATGTGGCTGGAGGGATCGATTGTTCCTCCTCCACACAGCAACTGTACAAAAAGCTGCAACCCACTCCTCACCTTCAACGAATGCCATGATGCCTGAAACTGCCACTCAAAGTCATTCCTCTTAGTTATGAAAGTATTTCTTAGGCCGGGAGCGGTGGCTCACGCCTACAATCCTAACACTTTGGGAGGCCAAGGTGGGTAGACAACCTGAGGCCAGGAGTTTGAGACCAGCTTGGCCAACATGGTGAAACCCTACTTACTAAAAACATGAAAAATTAGCCAGGTGTGGTGGTGGGCACCTGTAATCCCAGTTACTCAGGAGGCTGAGGTGGGAGAATTGTTTGAACCTGGGAGGTGGAGGTTGCAGTGAGCTGAGATTGTGCCACTGCATTCTAGCCTGGGCGACAGAGCAAGACTCTGTCTTGGAGGAAAAAAAAAAAAGGATTTCTCAAAGAGTTATCACAGTGTTGACAACCCAAAGATGTCCATAGGATTGAGGAGAAGGGACTCCTGGTCAAGACTGGGAAACAATGGTTAAACTCATTTACTCTTCATGAACAAGTCTCCTGTGATGTCCAAATCTAACAGGCTCCTGATATCAACTCGGGGAATTCAGAAAGCAAGCTTGGGAAACAAGGGATACCATGTGACCCAGATCAGCTTAGTTCAGGGGTTTCATGTAGCAAGTATGTGTGATGAAGTACAGCAAGGACTTGATCAAACAATTTATCAAAATCTATGGAGCTAGGCCAGGCACAGTGCTCCTGCCTGTAATCCCAGCACTTTGGGAGACCAAGACAGAAGGATCCCTCAAGCCCAGGAGTTCAAGACCAGCCAGCATAACACAGCAAGACCCCATCTCTACAAAATAAATAAATAAATAAATAAAATTAGCTACGCATGGTGGCATCCGCCTGTCCCAGCTACTGGGGAGGCTGAGGTAGAAGGATCACTTGAGCCCAGGAGGTTGAGATAGCAGTGAGCCGTGATTGCCCCATTGCACTCCAGCTGGGGCAGCAGAGCAAGATCCTGTCTCTTACATATTTAAAAAAAAAAAAATTCTGTGGATCTAATTCAAATGATGAGAGTTCAGATGGCAAGAGCAACCTGACTTTTACTTGTTGGCATTGTACTATGTAAATTTTGTGAGCTGCCTCAAGTCTGGTGGACATAAAGATGCCAACAAATGAATTCTAATAAGAAATGGGCTTGCTGCCTTTAAGTCAAGGGGCTACAGCAAGCTAACCTCAGAAGCCAGGGATCACAAAGAGGTAATGGGAGTCAGACAAGCTGAGCTGTGGCAGGACATAGAAACAAGGGGGGTTCTGTGTCCCACGGGTCCAAAGAAGAAATTACATATGAAATTATGGCTCTGGGATGACAAGAGTCCTAATAATATTTGCTGGGCAAACAAAAGGAACTCACTGCCTGATTTCTGGGGCCTCAGGGTAGGTCAGCAGCAAGATTCTGGTGTGAACTTGGCTGTAAACCCAACACGGGGCAGCCTTGCCCGTGGAGCTGGCTCTCCCAGTGAGGGCTGGGCTTTAAGGCCAGCTCAGCAGTCACAGGTCCCAAGGGAAGCAGATCAGACCCTGGTGGCTGGAAGTGGCTTCACTCAAACCTGGCATGAGGGCAAAATCGGGTGGCCCTTGGGGGCCCCAGACAAGAGTGTTGCTGGCCTGGAGATGAGGAAGGTGGAGTGCGGGGAGCATGTGAACTGTAGGCCCCCAGAAATGCTGGTTTTCATGACTGTGATCCTACCAGTGACGTCCTCGGGGCAGGAGCTATACCCTCCCACCCCACCCCAACAGGGGCCACTGGTAAAACCAGTCTAGTCAGAGGGTCTCGAGAAAACCACCAGAAGATCACCAGACAGGCGGGTTATGAAGCTGGGTGACCTGTGCCCGCCAGTGAGTTTGGCCCCACTAGCTTCCTTGCCAGTAAAGCACCTCCCCAACCTGACCTTCAATACTTAATAAGAACTCTTGGCAAGAGCTCTGCAGACACAGGCTGGGCACAGTGGCTCACACCTGTAATCCCAGCACTTTGGGAGGCCGAGGCAGGAGGATCACTTGAGCCAAGGAGTTCAAGACCAGCCTGGGTAACATGGGGAGACCTCATCTCTTTCGAAATAATGAGATAAACGAATACTTTTTTTTTTTTTTGAGATGGAGTTTCGCTCTTCTTGCCCGGGCTGGAGTACAGTGGCACGATCTCAGCTCACTGCAACCTCCGTGTCCCAGGTTCAAGTGATTCTCCTGCCTCAGCCTCCCGGTGGCTAGGATTACAGGTGCGCACCACCACGCCCAGCTAATTATTTTTTGTATTTTTAGTAGAGGCGGGGTTTCACCATGTTGGCCAGGATGGTCTCGATCTCTTGACCTCGAGACCTGCCCACATCGGCCTCCCAAAGTGCTGGGATTACAGGCGTGAGCCACCGCGCCTGGCTGCAAATATTTTTTAAAAACATTTCATCACAAGCTTGACTGCTCTGGAGTTGCATGTTAAGAACTCCCAAGAAACATCCTACTGTGCTCTGAGAGGGGACTGCGCCCACTGAGGGCTCCATACCTGTGTTTGCTTGAGGCTGTGCTTGGGGGACAGGCTCCCTGTGCTGTTGAGGCTGCTGACGCTGCCGTGGGACGGCGTGGAGCGGAGGCTGTCTTTTGGTGGGGGGCTGGCGGGCAGGACAGGGACGGCGCCAGGGAACACAGTCTTCTTTCTCTTGGAGGGGGGGATGAGGGACGGGGGCAGGGCGGAGGGCACGGGCTCCTTCTCCAGGGCTCGGTACACCAAGTGCATGGCCTGCGGGTGCAAATGACAATGGTGCTGAAGGGACAAGGCTGGGGCCGGGCACCACCAAGAGAAGGCAGAGGGCAGCCCTTTTGGGGGCTGCAGTGACAGGACAGACACTCTGTGAGGACACTCCCAAGCTGACCAGAGGGAAAAAACAATCATTCCAGATGAGCTATCTTTTATGTGTAACTTTCCGAGACATGTGTTGAATTATTCCTCCAGACTGAAATGCACACAGAAAGAATTCAATCAAGCCAGACTCGGTATGCATCCCTTCACCACTCAGGGAGGCCACCGGCTCCAGCGCTGGCACCTTCCCAGTACTGATTTGGAAGTCTAAAGACACCAGAAGAGAGGCTTGTACTTCAAGACGTTCAGGAGTAGTCCCAGCTACTTGGGAGGCTGAGGTGGGAGGATCGCCTGAGCCCAGGAGAGGGAGGCTGCAGTGAGCTGTGATCGCACCACTGCACTCCAGCCTGGGTGACAGAGCGAGACCCTGTCTCTATAAAACAAAACAAAAAACAGTGGAACTGAGGATGCATCCATGAGGCAGGCCACAGCCATAGAAATAAATTCTTTGTAGAAGGCCAACTAATAAAAGTGTAAGGAATGATGGTTTTGATGAGCACATAACCGTTTGGGAGCCACCATCATCGTAATTAATCTTGCCAGGTTAAGGCGAGACTCATCAGCGGTGGTTGAACTCTTAGGGAAGAGTCTGAGAGTCATAGGTGCTGACAGTATCAAGGCATCCCCCACAAGAGACAAAATGAGCACCGAGGGAAAAAGAGCAACTGCCCAGAGGAAGCCACAACCCTGCCCCACCTTGACCCAGTGATGAATGTCAACATGGCAGTAAGAAGGCACGTTGACATCATGCTCCCCCAGGTGGGAGACCCATGTGGGGCAGGTGTGACCTCCGTGGGATTCCTGTCCCACAACAGTGCACGACCTGGGTCATCAAGAGGACCTGGCAGCCAGGCCCAGGGACACTCCATAACTGCTGGCCTGTGCTCTTCAAAATGTTGACATTGAAGCCAGGCACGGTGGCTCATGCCTGTAATCTCAGCAGTTTGGAGGCCGAGACGGGCAGATCACCTGAAGTCAGGAGTTCAAGACCAGGCTGGCCAACAGGGAGAAACCTCATCTCTACTAAAAATACAAAAAAAAAAAAAATTAGCCAGGCATGGTGGTGAGAGCCTATAATCCCAGCTACTTGGGAGACTGAGGCAGGAGAATCGCTTGCATCCAGGAGGTGGAGGTTGCAGTGAGCTGAGATTGCGCCACGGCACTCCAGCCTGGGTGGCAGAGTGAGATTGCCTCTCAAAAACAAAACAACAACAACAAAAAAACAAAAAGTCCATGTCGAGAGACACGAAGAGAGACAGAGGAACTGTTCTAGATTCCAGGAAATGAAAGACGAAGGACAACAGGATGTTACACACAGGACTGGGTTCTCTTTAGATACAGGGACATTTTTGGGACAACTGATAAAATCTGAGTAATATCCTGGGATTAGATAATAATAGACACACTCATACAGAATGTAAGGTGTATATATAGGATATAATGAAAATATCATAAATGCGATGCTATCATGTGAATTTCCTGATTTTGAAGTGGATAATGGTTATGTGTAAGAGAAGTCCTTCTTTTTAGGAAATATGCACTGAAGTGTTTATGGATGAAGAGGCATCGTGTCTGCAACTTAACTCTAAAATAGTTCAAAGGTAAACTTCACGCAGCAGTAGGGAGGGAGAAAGAGTTAGGGAGGGAGGGAGGAAGAAGGGAGGAGAAAAATAAGACAAATGTAGTAAATTAGCGACACTGGGAAATTTGAGTGAAGAGTTTTCAAAAGAATTCTCTGTGGGAGGTCGCTTGAGTTCGAGGCTGCAGCAAAGGTATTCACGTCACTGCACTCCAGCCGGGGTGACAAAACAAGACTCTGTCTCAAAAACAGAAAATAATTCTCCATATTACAGGTTGAGTATCCCTTATCCAAAATGCTTGGGACCACAGGGTTTCAGATTCTGGAGTTTTCTGAATTTCTGAAGGTGTGTATTACACGTACTGGTTCAGCATTACTAATCCAAAAATCTGAAATCCTCCAATGAGCATTTCCTTTGAGTGTCATGTTGGTGCTCAAAAAATTTCAGATCTCGAAGCATTCCGGTTTCAGACTTTCAGATTAAGGATACACTCAACCTGTAATGAAACTTTTCTACATACAAAGAACTATGTCAAAATAAACACTTAAAAACTGAAAGAAGGAAGGCCGGGTGTGGTGTCTTACACCTGTAATCCCAGCACTTTGGGAGGCAGAGGCGGGCGGATCACTTGAGGCCAGGAACTCAAGACCAGCCTGGCCAATATGGTAAAACCCCATCTCTGTCACAAATACGAAAAAATTATCTGGCTGTGGTGGAGTGCACCTGTAATTCCAGCTACTTGGGAGACTGAGGCATGGGAACTGCTTGAACCCGGGAGGCGGAGGCTGCAGTGAACCAAGATGGCACCACTGCACTCCAGCCTGGGTGACAGAGCAAGATTCCGTCTCAAAAAAAAAAAAAAAAAAAGAAAGACGGTCGGGCACAGTGGCTCATGCCTGTAATCCCAGCACTTTCAGAGGCCAAGGCGGGTGGATCATGAGGCAGGAGATCGAGACCATCCTGGCCAAAATGGTGAAACCCTGTCTCTACTAAAAATACAAAAATTAGGTAGGTGTGGTGGCAGGCACCTGTAGTCCCAGCTACTCGGGAGGCTGAGGCAAGAGAACTGCTTGAACCTGGGAGGCAGAGGTTGCCATGAGCCAAGATCGCACCACTGCACCAGCCTGGTGACAGAGCAAGACTTCATCTCAAAAAAGAAAGAAACAAGAAAAACAAACGAATCCAGCAACCCCTGTGCACTGCACATTTCCTTCCTGGGGTGGGTGGGAAGGAAACAGCAGGACCTACCACAGCGAACTCGTCTCGGTCCAAGTGCCCATCCTTGTCAATGTCACTGAGGTCCCAGACCTGCAAGGGAGAGACCAGCATGGGTTACTGTGGGAGGAAAGACTGGGTGAGAGTGAGACCACCTGCCAGAACTCAGACTCTCAGCCATGGCGCTCACTGGGCTCAGGACAAGGAAGTCAATATACATTTCAGAACCAGTTTGCGAGTTCTCAGAAAAACCATCACCTGTAAAGTACTGTCAACTACCAGATGCACGGTCTGACAATCATCATGATTATAATCATGGCCAAGGCTACATTTTAAACTTAGCCTGAGTTTCCTCTTTATCATCTTACAGAGACATCTTAGAAAAGACAGCTTTGATTGAGTACAGGTGTTGCCCTAAACACCCACACTCCCTACGCTCACTCCTGCAAACCCCACCCCTCCCTTGCATTCTCAGCTGGGCAGGGCTGTGAGCTCCTGTCTGAGCATGTCTGTGGGTCTTGTCTCCTCTCCCCAGCAGTGGATGGTGAGACAGGTGTCAGGTCCACTCAGTGCGCTGAAGAGGAGGCAGGCAGGCAGGCGTGGGTTCCGGACTGTGCCTAAGACACGTGCAGATCTCAAGCACCATTACGCTGCCAGCTTCCTAACCCATGCCAGCCTTCCTGGATGGGCACACCTGCCTGGCAGGCCAATGCTGGGCAGGATGGCAGTCCCTGGATCTAAGAAGATGCCCACTGCTCTATCCATGATGCTTCATGTGTCACCATCACCCCTCCCCAGCCAATCACCAGGGCTTCAGTCCATGCAGGTTTCTCACGTCTGGGTCCTCCTCTCCACCTCTGCTGCTGTGCCCGAGGCTCATGACTCCCCAGCTCGCACAGCCAAGAGCCTCCAGCTGGCCTCCCTATCCCAGTCTTGTCCCTATGGCTACCATAGGGACTGTTCCAGAACACACACCTGACCCTGCCTCACCCTGCTCCTCAGCCTGGCAGATGGGGCCCTGTCACCTCGCTGCTGCTGAGCCCCTGATGGTAGCAGGTCCCTGCACCCCAGCCCAGCCTCCACAGACTCCACCTACTTTGCCAGGGATCCAGGACTCCAACAGGCCTTTCTGGCTCCACAGTCCTCCCTCAGCCCAGGCCTTTCCCACCTCGGCACTACTGCCTGTTAGGGCCGGATCACTCTCTGGGGTGTGGGCCATGACGTGCACTGCAGGGCATTGGGCAGCGTTCCTGGCCTTGACCCACCAGATGCCAGCAGCACCCGACCCAGGTGTGACAACCAAAAATGTCCCCAGGCACTGCCCAATGTCCCCTGGGGGCCCTGGGGGGGCAGAAGCGCCCAGGGGGAGCCCTGGCCCTAACTGGCATGCCAGGCTACCTGCGGCCTCTGTGCCGTCACTCAAGCTGCCCACATGCCCACATGCCCAGACTTCCGCCAGAGTCCCCCTCACCCTGGAGGATGTGACCAGCGGCACCTCTTCTAGAAAGTCCGCCCTGGCTGCCCTGCTCCCCGTGCTCAAGCGGGTCAGGGGCCCTCCCCTCTACCACTGTCCTCACTGGGCCAAACTGTGATTATCAGGGATGCTGTCGGGGGTGTCTAATGGACAGGGCAGGTGAAGAGGGCAGGCTCTGGGGACAGCTGCTCCAGAATGCACACTGGATCCTGCCCCGCCCTGCCTGCAATAGGACCTCATCCCTTATCCACCCTTCCACAACTGTGCAACCAGGGTGACTTCCCAACCACCCTGAACATCTGCTTCCCCATCTGAAAAACAGGGGGTGGAGGGGTGTGAGACACAGTCCTTAACAGCATGGCTGCAAGTGCTGGATGTGTGTCTTCATGCAGAGCACTAGGGCCCGGCCTGCACACACTAAGCCCTCAGTAAATAAGTAAACGCATCTTGGCTATTACTTATTTGACTTCTTTGACGGTACCTAATCATCCCCACCTTCCCACTGCCCAGCACAAGGCATAGTCCACTGCAGGCTCTGAAAAATGCTTACTGAATGACTGACCAGATGCATGATGTGTGGGTGCCTGGATGCACAGATGGATGATGGCACGGATGCAAGTGTGCACGGATGAATGCATAAATATGGACACACAGGGACATGTCAGCATAGACGTATGGGCACAAAGATGCATGCACAGATGTGTGGATAAATACATTGCATGGGCATGTGCACACACAGATGAATGGATCATACGGATGCAGAGGGACATGGGTGCATAGATGCATGGATGCAAAGATGCATGCATGGCTAGGCACAGTGGCTCACGTCTGTCATCCATCCCAGCACTTCGGGAGTCCAAGGCAGGCGGATCACCTGAGACCAGGAGTTCGAGACCAGCCTGGCCAACATGGTGAAACCCAATCTCTACTAAAAATATAAAAATTAGCTGGGCGTTATGGTGTGCACCCATGGTCCCAGCTACTCAGGAGGCTAAGACAGGAGAATCACTTGAACCAGGGAGGCAGAGGTTGCAGTGAGCCAAGATGGCGCCAGTGCACTCCAGCCTGGGCAACAGCGAGACTTCATCTCGAGGAAAAAAAAAAAAAAAATTAAATAAATAAATAAAATAAAACATATTTATGGTTAGATAGAAGGTGTAAGTTCTTTTATTTTATTTTTTCTAAAGACACAGAGTCACTCTGTCACCTAGGCTGGAGTGCAGTGGTGCGATCTCAGCTCACTGCAACCTCTGCCTCCCAGGTTCAAGCGATTCTCCTGTCTCAGCTTCCCAAGTAGCTGGGACTACAGGAGCATGCCATCATGCCCAGCTAATTTTTATATTTTTAGTAGAGACGGGGTTTCACCATGTTGGCCAGGATGGTCTTGATCTCTTGATCTCATGATCCCCCCACCTCAGCCTCCCAAAGTGCTGGGATTATATGTGTGAACCACCATGCCCGGCCAGAAGGAATAAATTCTAATGTTCAATAGCACAATAGGGGAACTATAGCTAACAATAATTTATCGTATCTTTCAAAGTCTCTAGAAGAGAAGATTTGAATGTTCCCAGTACAAGGAAAGGATCAATGTTTGAGGTAATGGATATGCTAATTACCCTGCTGGGATCATTAAACATTGTGTGCATGTATCAAACCATCACGTGGACCTCACATTATAATTATTATGTATCATCAAAAATAAAAATAATAAAACATAGAATAAAGCAAACCACGGTCGACTCTTGAACAACATGGTTTGTTGAACTGTGCAAGCTCAGTGTATGTTCGTATTTTTCTAATCAAATGTGGATACAAAATACAGTAGTCGTGGGATGTGAAACCTGAATATACAGAGGGCCAACTTTTGTATCTGCAGGGCTGACTGCAGGACTTGGGTATGTGTACATTTTGGTGTATGATGGGGCCCTGGAACCAATATCCCCCTAAGTATCCCAAGGAACAACTGTACTTTTAGTTAATAGAAACAAATTGAGGCTTTTAAAATTAATTAATTTGGCCAGGCGCGGTGGCTCACGCTTGTCATCCTAGCACTTTGGGAGGCCGAGGCAGGTGGATCACCTGAGGTCAGGAGTTCAAGACCAGCCTGGCCAACATGGTGAAACCCCATCGCTATTAAAAATACAAAAATTGGCTGGGCTTGGTGGCTCACACCTGTAATCTCAGCACTTTGGGAGGCCAAGGCGGGCGGATCACGAGGTCAGGAGATCAAGACCATCCTGGCTGACACAGTGAAACCCCATCTCTACTAAAAATATGAAACATTAGCCGGGTGTGGTGGCGGGCACCTGTAGTCCCAGCTACTCGGGAGACTGAGGCAGGAGAATGGTGTGAACCTGGGAGGCGGAGCTTGCAGTGAGCAGATATCGTGCCACTGTACTCCAGCCTAGGCGACAGAGCGAGACTCTATCTCAGTAAAATAAATAAATAAACACAAATACAAATACAAAAATTAGCCGGGCATGGTGGCTCACGCCTGTAGTCCCAGCTACTCGGAGGCTGAGGCAGCAGAATCGCTTGAACCTGGGAGACAGAGGTTGCAGTGAGCCAAGATCATGCCACTGCACTCCGGACTGGGTGACAGAGCAAGACTGTCTCACAAAAAAACAAAACCAAAAAAAATTATTTATTTATTTATTTTTAAAACAGAGTCTCACTCCTGTTGCCCTGGCTGGAGTGCCATGGCACAATCTCAGCTCATTGCAGCCTCGACTTCCCAGGCTCAGGTATGATCCTCCCACCTCAGCCTCTAGAGTAGCTGGGACTACAGTCGCACACCACCACAACTGGCTAATTTTTTTATTTTATTTTTTCAGTATGGATGGGGTTTCACCATGTTGCCCAAGCTGGCCTCAAACTCCTGGACTCAAGTAATCTGCCTGCCTCAGCCTCCCAAAGTGCTGGGATTACAGGCATGAGCCACCACACCAGCCTAAATTGAGGGTTTGTTTTTTTTTTTGAGACAGAGTCTCGCTCTGTCACTGTGGCTGGAGTGCAGTGGTGCGATCTCAGCTCACTGCAATCTCCACCTACCGGGTTCAAGTGATTCTCCTGCCTCAGCCTCCTGAGTATATGGGATTACAGGCAAACACCACCATACCTGGCTAATTTTTTTTTTTTTTTTTGAGACAGAGTCTTGCTGTGTCTCCCAGACTGGAGTGCAGTGGTGTGATCTCGGCTCACTGCAAGCTCCACCTCCCGGGTTCAAGCCATTCTCCTGCCTCAGTCTCCCGACCAGCTGGGACTACAGGTGCCCGCCACCACGCCCGGCTAATTTTTTTCTTGTATTTTTAGTAGAGACGGGGTTTCACCGTGTTAGCCAAGATGGTCTCGATCTCCTGACCTCGTGATCCACCCGCCTCGGCCTCCCAAAGTGCTGGGATTACAGGCGTGAGCCACCGCGCCCGGCCATTTTTGTATTTTTTTTAGTAGAGACAGGGTTTCACCATGTTGGCCAGGCTGTTCTCAAACTCCTGACCTCAAGTTATCCACCCACCTCGGCCTCCCAAAGTGCTGGGATTACAGGCATGAGCTACTGCACCAAGCCAAGACTTTTTTTTTTTAAAGAAAATGCATACATTTTTTCCTAAATTTGCAGCAGAGTTGAAAATACTTTTACCTTGAGCTTTACAAGAAGAAAAGAGTAATTAACAGTAGAAAAGAGCCAGGCATGGTGGTATGCACTTGCAGTCCCAGCTATTAGGGAGGCTGAGGTGGAGGATGGCTTCAGCCTGGCAGTTGGAGACCAGCCTGGGCAACATAGTGAGACCCCATCTCTAAAAACTCAAAAAAGAAATAAAAAAGGCGGGGTGTGGTGGCTCATGCCTGTAATCCCAGCACTTTGGGAGGCCGAGGCAGGTGAATCACGAGATCAGGAGTTCAAGACCAGTCTGGCCAACACAGTAAAACCCCATCTCTACTATAAAAACAAAAATTAGCAGGGCGTGGTGGCATGCACCTGTAATCCCAGCTACTCGGGAGGCTGAGGCATGAGAAAAGATTGAAGCGGGGTGGCAGAGGTTGCAGTGAGCCGAGATGGCGCCACTGTACTCCAGCCTAGGCGACAGAGCAAGACTCCGTCTCATAAATAAATAAATAAATAAAAAGATACACACACACACTCCCACATTCAGCACAATGGAAAGGGGGAAAGCCCAGGCTGGGGAGCTTAAGATTAAGCTCTACTGGTCCCGAAGCCCCAGGCAGCAATTTCACTTCTGAGTCCACCTCCTCATCTGTGAAGTGTAAGGATTCTAGCACCCTCCCCAGGGGCTGGGTGAACACTGTAAGCCACGCCCTAGGAAGCCCTGAGCCAGCCGGGGCTGGACCCACAGAAGCGCTGATGAAGCCCCTGACGGCACAGGGAGAAAACAGAGCGAGAGCCTCGTAAGCACCGTGGGGAAAGAGAACAGTGGCGCCCACACACAGCAGGGACACCGAGTGCGGAAGAACCAAGCCCGTGGCCCACTTACCCGGCCCAGGACATCAAGAGGCAGCTTTGAGTTCATGAGGACTGGCTTGACTTTGTCTCCAGAGAGCAAACCATTGATGGGCAAGAGGCTTTCAAAAATCCCATCAAATTTGGCCTTTTCTTCCACCTAGTTGGAAAGAAATAGCCCGAGTAAGTAGGAGAGCACACCTGTGTGAGTGTCCAGACCGAGCTCTGACCGAAAGCCGAGTGAAAATGGCCATGGACCCATCATCACCTTTGGCTAAAAGCACAAAATGATCTTAGAACTGTCTTGGCCTCTTCCAAAGTGAACATATGCCCTGAAGGAAATAGCATTATGGCAACCTCAGATCTGGAAGCCAAGGTCCTCAGGAGGGAAGCCCTGGCCCTGGGTCTTGCCCTTCGTCCTAGTTGCTGCCTGAGTGGGGCAGGAGTCTCCCATGTTGGGGCAGTGTCTTTGCAGGGAAACACAGATCAGTCTCACCTTCCTCCAAGGAGCCCACTTGTACCAAAAAGACAAAAGTGTGAGCAGATGTTATTGCTTGAGCAAATAATTATCAAAATCAACTTTAAATAAGTACAGGAAGCCCTCTGGTTTTTTTGTTTCTTTTCTTTTTACTTTTTCTTTTTTTTTTTTTTGAGACAAAACTCTCGCTCTGTTGCCCAGGCTGGAGTGTAGTGGCGCAGTCTCAGCTCACTGCAACCTCCGACTCCTAGGTTCAAGCAATTCTCATGCCTCAGCCTCCCGAGTAGCTGGGATCACAGGCATGCGCCACCACACCCAGCTAATTTTTGTATTTTTTGTAGAGATGGGGTTTCACCATGATAGCCGGGTTGGTCTTGAACTCCTGGCCTCAAGTGATCCGCTTGCCTCGGCCTCCCAAAGTGCTGGGATTACAGGTGTAAGCCACCAAGCCCGGCCATATACAGGAAGCCCTCCATTTCTTTTTTTTTTTTTTTTTTTTGAGACAGAGTCTCGCTCTGCCGCCCAGGCTGGAGTGCAGTGGCGTGATCTTGGCTCACTGCAAGCTCCGCCTCCCGGGTTCACGCCATTCTCCTGCCTCAGCCTCCCGAGTAGCTGGGACTACAGGCGCCCGCCACCTCGCCCGGCTAGTTTTTTTTGCATTTTTTAGTAGAGACGGGGTTTCACCGTGTCAGCCAGGATGGTCTCGATCTCCTGACCTCGTGATCCGCCCGTCTCGGCCTCCCAAAGTGCTGGGATTACAGGCTTGAGCCACCGTGCCCGGCCAAAGCCCTCCATTTCTAATGGTAAATAAATTAATACATAAATAGGAATAGCTCTTCATGAACAAAGGGAAGGTGCGGCATTACGATGCGGAGTCGCAGTTCCTGCTGTTCTGAAAGACACAGTGCAGGCAGCCCGTAAAAGAGGCCACGAGTGAGGCAGCGGCTTCCAGTCTGTTCCGTTCTCCAAAGGAAAGGAGGTCCACAACGAGTGGGACTCAGGGAGAGCAGGCCTCTCGCAACCTGCTTGGCCACACACTGGAGCTATTGGGAGCACTAAGAAAACACCCTCAACACGTGTCCATCGACAGATGAATGCATACACAAAGCGAGGTAGATCCAGACAGTGGAACATCCCTCCACCACAAAAAGGAAGTGAGTTCTGACACACGCTACAATGTGGACAAACTCTGAGGACAGCATGCTAATTAAAATAAACCAGCCACACACAAAATACAAATACTGTATGAGGCTGGCACAGTGGCTCATGCCTGTAATCCTAGCACTTTGGGAGGCCAAGGTAGGGGGATCACTTGAGCCCAGGAGTTTGAGACTGACCTGGGCAGCATGGTGAGACCCCATCTCTAAAAATAAAAAACAAAAACAAAAACAAAACTAGGCCAGGCGCAGTGGCTCACGCTTGTAATCCCAGCACTCTGGAAGGCCAAGGTGGGCAGATCACTTGAGGTCAGGAGTTCAAGACCAGCCTGGCCAACATGGTGAAATTCCACCCCTACTAAAAATACAAAAATTAGCTATGCATGGTGGCACGTGCCTGTAGTACCAGCTACTCAGGAGGCTGAGGCAGGAGAATCACCTGAACCGGGGGGCGGAGATTACAGTGAGCTGAGATCACACCACTGCACTCCAGCCTGGGCAACAGAGTAAGACTCCATCTCAAAAATAACAAAAAACAAATACCGCATGATGCCACTCATAGGAGGTCCCCTCCTCCCTAGGCATATCCATGGAGACAGAAAGCAGAATGATGGGTGCCAGGGGTTGAGGGAGTGGAAGGTTCAGGTATAGAGTTTCAGTCTGGGAGGATGAGAAGGTTCTGGAGATGGACGGTGGTGATGGCTGTACAACGTGAATATATTTAACATTCCTGAACTGTACACTCAGAAATGGTTAAGATGGTAAATGTTATGTGATGTGTCTTTCAGCCACAATAAAAACCTTTTAATTTTTAAAAGAGAAAAACCAAGACAGTGCCCTCAGTCAGAGATGAGATGACCGGCAGACACCGCATGCTCTCACGGCTGTTGGTGCTAAGAAGCTGAGCGCTGCAGGTCTGTCTCGGGGGCCTGAGATCCTCTCCCGGCCATCAGACTTGCTGACTCAGTGCCTTCAGAAGCCCAGGAATGTTCACAACGGAAACAAACACTTGGCACTTCGGGCTTGTTCTTTCTGACTGTGGCTGTGAATGGAATGCACAATCTTTCTTGACCATAATCCACCCCAATTACAGCGCCTGGTCCTGCACTCCCTGACTCCTCTCTGCAAGGTCCCCAGGCCCCTCAGTCCCAGCTCTTCTAATGAGGCCTGGACATAACCCCTGCTGGAAAAGATGGAAAAGAGCCATCACATTTTAAATAATAAGATCTCTTGGCAGTGTTTCCCATGACAAAGTAGCTCTGTTTCAAAGTCCACATAATGCGCTGGATGACAAGGAGAAACCCTTCACCACAGTGACTGCCACTGGCAAAGTGCTCGATGACAGAGGTGACTGCATGACTCCTTGGTCACATGACACATCTTCATGTCCTCTCCCTGCACAGATGCCCCCTACCCAACCCATGACCTCTCCAAGAAGGGAACAAACCAACCGTGTAAACATGGGACACAAGTACTTGGGACCTTTGCTTGATAGCAAGTGTTATTCATGTCAGGATTTAAGCCACACAAACGTGAGGAAATGTGACAGTCTGAAAGTGAAGGGAAGGTGAGGAGGCCTCACGTTATCTGGAGGGACCACGCTCACTTCCTTTAGAAGGAATTCTGTACTTAGAAGACAGCCCTCATTTTTTTTTGTCTTTCTGGAAGCAGTAGCATATCTTTCCAGCCACAACATCCTCTGTTTTAAAAATAACACTTCAAGTGCTGAGAGAGGCTGTTCACAAAGCAATCAGAACATCAGGGAGGAAAGAATAGTAACATGCAAAGTGGCTGGAAAGAAGCGAGAAAGCAAGGAACACATTTGGGGGTCCACGTGCTTGCAAGCTCTCACCGTTTCCTCTTCTATTCTGAATAACCAACACAAGCAGCAAAAACCACAGAATGTAACCTAAAGATGCAAGATTTAAACTGCAGTCCTTTAATAATCCAATTCCTGACACTTAGTTGAACCGATAGGCAACTCCCAATTCCAGTGAAGGGCCATAGCCTTTGTAAAAGGTGTTCAGAAGAGGCGTTTCATCCGAGTGCTGTGGACATTCACACTGAGACAGAAGAGCTGACACAATCATCCTATAAAATGTTCTGAACAACATCAAACTAGAACAATTCCAGAACAATTCTAGAACAACTGCTGGAACAATTCGATCTGAAGGAGAGCCAAGGAGGGACCTATTCCCGTTCACTTACCCTCACAGCCCAGTGGGCCTCTGCAGAGGGCGGTGTGACCATCAGAGGGCTGCTGGTGTCGTGCTGAGAAGAGAGAGAAACATTCCTTTGTGGCTGGCACAGAATTAAATCATAGGTGGGTGGGTTTGCTGAAAAGGATACACGTTTCAAAGTGCTTTCAAAAAAGGGAAGACTTCAAAAAGTTAAACACAGAATCATCACATGACCCAGCAATTCCACTCCTATGTATTGACTCAAATGAATTAAAAACGGTTGTCCAAACAAATCCTTGTACATGAATGCTCGCAGCAGCACTATTCACAACAGTCAAAAAGGTGGAAATAACCCACATGTCCACAGAGAGATGAGTGGATAAAGATGTGGTCCATCCACTAAATGGAATATGGAAACACTGATCCATTCTACAACATGGATGAGCCCTGAAAACACGATGCTGAGAGAGAGAGAGGCCAGACACAAAAGACCATGTTAGAGAATTCCATTGACATGAAATGTCCAGAACAGGCAAATCCATTGACAGAAATAAAATTAGTGGTTGCCAGCGACTGGGAGGGAGAGACAAGGAGTGATTACTTAATGTGGATGGGGTCTTCTTGTGGGGGGATGAAAATGTTCTGGAGCTAGACAGAGGCAATGACTGCACAACGCTGTAAATGTACTAAATGCCACTGAAGAGTTCACTTTAAAATTATTAATTTTCTATTATGTGAATTTCACCACAATAAAAGGGGAAGGCTAGAGAAAACATGGAGATATACACGCAAATATACACATGCACATACACACGCACACACATCTGGTATTAGAAGAATGTGAACTTGAAGGACTTCGGACACTCACAAATTTAGGTGGCGGCATGCTCAAATTCAGATTGCTCAAGGTAACTTCATGGCCACTCTGTGCACAGGCCACCAGTCTCAGTGCAACATAGAAACCCTGCAAGTCCAAAGAAAGGGAAGGAGTAAACAGCACATCGCCAGTGAGGGTAGGGGGAGCTGTCTCTAACAGTAGGCTTCAGGGGAAGAGGACGTCCACTTCAACAATGAAGACTGTCCATGCAAAAACCCCTGGCGTTGGGCTGAACTGGACTCACCTTGGGGACATCGCTTAAATGAATACACTAAAATGGACTTGTCCTGGCTGGGTGTGGTGGCTCATGTCTGTAATCCTAGCACTTCGGGAGGCCAAGGCAGGTGGATCACCTGAGGTCAGGAGTTCAAGACCAGCCTGGCCAACATGGCGAAACCTCATCTCTACTAAGAATACAAAAATCAGCCAGGCATGGTGACAGGTGCCTGAAATCCCAGCTATTTGGGAGGCTGAGGCAGGAGAATCCCTTGAACTCAGGGAGTGGAGGCTGCAGTGAGCCAAGATCACACCACTTCACTCCAGGCTGGGCAAAAAAGAGCAAAATTCCGTCTCAAAATAAATAAATAAAATAAAACAAAATGGACTTATGTTCCACTGCATCTCAAAATCTGTAAAATTTCAGATGCAAGCATTTTCCAAAACCTATAAGCTCCCAACATTTAGGAAGTGTTAGGTTGTATAAGGCAACAAAGTTAACATGGTTAAGGTGATGAATGATGGACCAAATATGTGCCAAATCTGTGTGTGTTTGTTTTAGAGATGGGGTCTCACTCTGTCACCCAGAGTGCAGTGGCACAATCACAGCTCACTGTAACCTCAAACTCCTGGGCTCAAGCGATCCTCCTGCCTCAGTCTCCTGAGTAGCAGGGACCACAGGTGTGCACCACTATGCCCAGCTAAGTTTTTATTTATTTTTTTAGAGGTGGGATCTCACTACATTGCCCAGGCTGATCTCAAACTCCTGTCCTCCTGCCTTAGTTTCCTGAGTAGTTAGGATGAGAGGTATGAGCCACTGCACCTGGCTAGGTGTTGAATTTTTTAAAAAGCAGTCTGAAATACACACGGTTGGTCAGAAACTTCTATCTGTGGTTCACCACGATCCCCTCAGCCTCACTAAACGGAACATCCCCTGCCCATCCCCAGCGGCCTGACATGGACCCCACCTTGACACCAGAAGAAAGAAGTTGAACTAGGCTGTCAGATGCCTCCCCTCCTAACCCAGGACCCACCACACACAGGCTCAGTGGACTTGTGAGGCATCACCTAGCTTCAAGAGTGTTTTGTGTTTTTTTTTTTTTTAATTAACTGGCCTAAGAACATGGATACTTTTAAAGCTATAAATATTGTTAACAGTTTTAAAAGTGTCTTCCAAGAGATAAGTGCTAGGATCCGCTTTTCTCAGCCTGCTGTCCTCAGAAGCTCTTGTAGAGTGTGGAGGATCATAAGAGGGTGTTGAGAAAAGGGGACCTTTCATTCCTGCAAGATCTGAGAAAAGAGAAAAATTAATAAATAAATAGCAAACAAAAGGGGATTAAGCAAGTTTAGGGGAGGCTGGGCACAGTGGCTCATGCCTGTAATCCCAGCACTTTGGGAGGCCGAGGTGGGTGGATCACGAGGTCAGGAGATCGAGACCATCCTGGCTAACACAGTGAAACCCCATCTCTACTAAAAATACAAAAAAAAAAAAAAAAAATTAGCTGGGCATAGGGGCAGATGCCTGTAGTCCCAGCTATTCGGGAGGCTGAGGCAGTAGAATGGCATGAACCCAGGAGGCAGAGCTTGCAGTGAGCTAAGATTGGGCCACGGTACTCCAGCCTGGGCGACAGAGCGACAATCCATCTCAAAAAAAAAAAAAAAAAGTAAATTTAGGGGAACTGCATTAAGTCAAGTCAAATTTCTTTTCTACAGGAATTCTTAGAAACTTTAACATGCAGACATGAGGCTGGGCACAGTGGCTCACGCCTGTAATCCCAGCACTCAGGGAGGCCAAGATGGGAGGATTGCTTGGGCACAGGAGTTCGAGACCAACCTGGGCAAAATAGCGAGACCTTATCTCTACAAAAAATAATAAAAATTAGCCAGGTGTGGCAGTGTGTGCCTGTGGCCTCAGGTACATGGGAGACTGAGGCAGAGGATCACTTGAACCCAGAAGGTTGAGGCTGCAGTAAGCCATGATCGCACCACTGCACTCCAGCCTGGGCAAGAGTGAGGCTCAAAAAATAAAAAATAAAAATAAATTAAAAAAATAAAAAAACACATGCAGATGTGCACCATGAACCTAAGAAGGGAGGTACAAGTGAAGGGGCTTCCTGACAGACTAGCTCACAAGTCATGGCACAGCACAAACAAGGTCCCTTCCAACAAAACGGCCATCTATGACCACTTAAAATCACAGGCTAAGTATTCCTCATCCCAAATACTTGGGATCAGGAGAGTTTCAGATTTCAGATTTTTTTTTTTTTTTCCTCAGATGGAGTTTTCGCTCTGGAGACTGAGGCACGAGAATCTTGTGAATCCAGTGGGCAGAGGCTGCAGTGAGCCAAGATCATGTCACTACACTCCAGCCTGGGCAAGAGTGAGACTCTGTCTCAAAAAAAAAAAAAAAAAAAAACTCTGATTAAGGCCTTTAGGCAAAGTTACACATTGTTACATTAATAACACCAATGTGGCTGGGAGTGGTGGCTCATGCTCATAATCCCAGTCCTTTGGGAGGCCGAGGTGGGCGGATCACTTGAGGTCAGGAGTTTAAGACCAGCCTGGCCAACATGGTGAAACCCCATCTCTACCAAAAATACAAAAATTAGCCAGGCATGATGGTGCTCACCTGTAATCCCAGCTACTCCAGAGGCTGAGGCTGGGGAATCGCTTGATCCTGGGAGGTGGAGGTTGCAGTGAGCCGAGATTGCACTACTGCACTCCAGCCTGGGCGACAGAGTGAGACTCCATGTCAAAAAAATAAAAAATAAAAAATAACACCAATGTTACTTTCTGGCTCTGATCACTGTGCTGTGATTATTTAAGAGGCCATCACTAGGGAGAGCTGGCAAAAGATACACAGTAACCCTCCAAGCTATTTGTGCAACTTCCACGAGAGACTGGTCCAAAATAAAAAGTCTGGACAACACTTTAATCACATGTAAGGTTACAAAACATTAAAAGAAAAATAAATAAATAAATAAAAATAAAAGATACACTAGCCATGAAAGATGGCTCCCAGTGTTTAAAAGACCTTTGTTTCAAATGAAAGCTTCAGGTGTTAAGTTTGACAGCTGTGCTCATGCCTAGTAATACTTGACAGTGGAGGAATGTGGAAGGAGCCGTGGAGGTCACCCAGCCTGGGGGCTCTGCCCAGCCCCTCCACTTGCTCTGTGTACATGTGTATATACCTGTTTGTCCAAGAACCCTTTACCTTCTGGGTCAGCCAAGTCCCATATCTGTGGAAACACAAAAATGCTCATAAGCATGACTGCTGATCACTGTGCATGTGTTAACAAAAACCAGAGCTGCCAACACCCCACCACCGGCCTTGTGGGGCAGGAGTGACTGTCCCCAGGTTGTTCTGCAGATGAAGAGGCCAATTCAGATCAGCTGAATGATCTGCCCAGGGGCACACAGTCAGTCAGCGGCAGGGCCCAGAGGACATCCAGGTGCACTCAGCTCCCAAGCCAATGGTGTTTATGACACCCTTCTTCCCCCAACAAAAGTCCACAAGTGGCCAACCGCGATGGCTCACACCTGTAATCCCAGTACTTTGGGAGGCTGAGGTGGGCACATCACCTGAGGTCAGGAGTTTGAGACCAGCCTGGTCAACATAGTGAAACTCCATCTCTACTAAAAATACAAAAAATTAGCCGGGTGTGGTGGTGTGCACCTGTAATCCCAGCTACTCGAGAGGCTGAGGCAGGAGAATCACTTGAACCCGGGAGGAGGAGGTTGCAGTGAGCCAAGATCGCACCACTGCACTCCAGCCTGGGCAATAAGAGCAAAACTCTGTCTCAAAAAAAAAAAAAAAAAAAAAAGTCCACAAGCTATCAAGACCCCAAAAGTACTCGGGTTTCTTGTCGGCTACCAAAGTAGTTGTGGGGGCTGCCACCTGGGCGTTTGGATCCACCAGCTGCAGTCTGAGAGGTCTGCAGTGACCAGGCCACTCCCCAGGAGGCCCAGCCCCACGCAAGGAGGCCAGCACAGGCTGGCCCTGACCTGAGGGGGTAGCTGTGAGGGCAGCCACAGAAGAGAAATCACTATTCATCTTCACATACCTTCCCAAGGATAATGTCCGAGAGGCCAGACTTCTTTAGAAAAAGCGCAGCTTCACTCGCCCCCACCCTCCCTGTGTATGCTGGATCGACCTGAGATGGGAGAGCAAGAGGCAAAATAACTTTTCAGCAAATGCAGCAGCAGGTGAAACAGCACCCGCCACGCTGACTATCCGCTGACAGCGAACAGAAAAGGACAAAAAGCCGCTCAGCCGGGCTCCTATTCCGTACCGTGCTTTCAGCTCAGGCATGCTCTAGTTCCATCTGGAAAGACATCAGCTAAACTCACCTGCTTGTAATAAGATTCATACAACGAATTTCCAGTGGGAATCTGTAAATGAAACCACAGATATTAGTCAAAAGTGAACGCATCCCCTTGGGGAAAAAAAGGGTTGACCCCTCAATTTTGTCATGACCGAAATAGATGATGATAGTTAAGAGTCAAAATGTATGCACTTTATACATCCTTTGAACACAGAATTCAGTTTATCTTCAGACACAGATATTATTATGCTTACCCGATTTAGAAAAAGTAAGCTTAATGTTCTTGAATAAATCCTAATTCTAGGGCAAACAATCCAGTCACTCAGGAAACAGCAGCAGCAGCCCAGTGTCAATTTCCATTCCTGAGCAAAGGGATTTCAGCTCCTGGAGAGCTCAGAGGGAAAAGACACTCTATCCTCTGAGATTGTTCTTTGGCTCCGGAATCAGAAAAGAAGTTTCCACATGTCATCATGAATCACCGGGCCCGCAAGCTTTCGACCGGTTTCCCTAGCCTGGGTCTGGTTCTCTCACCCATCCCATCCATCCTCCTCCAGCTACCTGAATGCTCAAAGATGCGCACTGACCAGCCCGTGCCTGGAGAGTGCTGGCCAGTGACTGTTCCCACCACGGCAGGAAGGAAGTGCGGTGTCCTCAGCTTGGCACTGAAGATATTCCACTTCCCAACACCTCAGAGCCACAAGACATCGCTGTTCAGATCTAGGGTCATGGAGCTAATCGGGGCCACCAGAGGCCACACCTGGATCCAGCCTGGCTGGCAGCCAAGTCCAGACACTTCCCACCATATCCTGACCTCTGCCAGAGGTCTCCCAGGGGAGAGAAGGGACACCCAGGGGAGTGTGCCAACCTGGTGGGGAATTATGCAGCCCCTGAAATGCTGGCTGTAAAAGTTTACGTGTGTTGGTATTACAAACCTGCCGCTGATGTAATAAGCAATAAAAGTGAAGAATGCACAATGATGCCTAATTATACAGAATGGGTGTGTAAACAGCTAAAGAGAATAGCCGGGCGCGGTGGCTCAAGCCTGTAATCCCAGCACTTTGGGAGGCCGAGACGGGTGGATCACGAGGTCAGGAGATCGAGACCATCCTGGCTAACACGGTGAAACCCCGTCTCTACTAAAAAATACAAAAAAACTAGCCGGGCGTGGTGGCGGGCGCCTGTAGTCCCAGCTACTCGGGAGGCTGAGGCAGGCGAATGGCGTGAACCCGGGAGGCGGAGCTTGCAGTGAGCTGAGATCCGGCCACTGCACTCCAGCCTGGGTGACAGAGCAAGACTCCGTCTCAAAAAAAAAAAAAAAAAAAAGAGAATAGAACTGGGCAGGGAAAAGAGGACTGTCTCGGGGGCAGGATTACAGTATTTATCCAACAAATTCTCAGACTGCTGTTGTACGATTTCTCACGACGAATAAAACCAGGGGGACGTAGGCTCCTTCCAGTTATGGTCATTGGATTTGAACCAATATGCACCCACCACTTGCATATTGTTGTGCTACAAAAGGTCACTTCAAGCTAAAAATAATGCCCGGGCCGGGCGCGGTGGCTCACACCTGTAATCGCAGCACTTTGGGAGGCCGAGGCAGGCAGATCACCTGAGGTCAGGAGTTTGAGACCTGGCCAACATGACAGAGTGAGACCCCATCTCTAAAACAAATACAAAAATTAGCCAGGCGTGGTGGCGTGTGCCTGTAATTCCAGCTACTTGGGAGGCTGAGGCAGGAGAATCGCTTGAACCCAGAAGGCTGAGGTTGCAGTGAGCCAAGATCTTACCACTGCACTCCAGCCTGGGTGACAAGAGGGAAACTCTGTCTCAAAAATAAAAATAAAAATAATAATAATGCCCAGATTACGGTCAGCTTCTCTGGGGGACGCCAACACCTGTGAATGTATACAGAAGTAAAAGTTGTAATCCCAAACAGCACTTTGGGAGGCCAAGGCAGGCAGATCACGAGGTCAGGAGTTCAAGACCAGTCTGGCCAACATAGTGAAACCCCATCTCTACTAAAAATACAAAAAATTAGCCAGGTGTGGTGATGTGCATCTGTAATCCCAGCTACTCAGGAGGCTGAGACAGGCGAATCGCATTAATCCAGGAGGCAGAGATTGCAGTGAGCCAAGATTGCGCCACTGCACTCCAGCCTGGGCGACAGTGTGAGACTCTGTCTCAAAAAAAAAAAAAAGAAGAAGTGAAAGTAAAGAGAAAACTACCACGACAAAATGAAAATAGAAGGAAAATAGCATAAAGATCTGAAAGGGGAGAGGAAAAAGTCAAAACAAAAAGAAAAAGAGGAAAAGAAAGGGGGAAACACTGAAAAGGCAGAAAAAACTAGAATAAAATGAAAAAGCAAGAAAAGCCAGAGATTTAGGAGCCACCATTTTTAAAACAAAGACCGAAGACATCATGGAAAAGACTTGGGAGGTAAGCGTATAGCAACAGCAGCCCCCGGATGGCTGCCTGCCTCGCACTTGGAAGCAGTGACACCATCCCTGGTGGAGTGGTACGGGAAAGACCTGGAGTGGCCGTCACCCTTAATATCTTACAACCTCATTAGATGACAGTGTCCAACCATCACACCTGTGTCACCTCCTGGGTTCAAAATATGTCAGCTTATTTCCAAAATATGTCTCCCCAGAGGAAGAAGACCCACAGAAAGGAGGCCAAGGCAGGCAGGCTGTTTGCCACCTGTCAGTAAAGGTGACAGTGGTCAGGTCTAGGCAGCAAACAGCACATCGCCTGCCATGGGTTCACAGATTCCAGAGGCCCTCAGTTTAGATGACAAAGGTGCCCTTCCTGCCAACGATCAGAGAGGTCCGGATCTGAAGCACATTTTCAGTCGAGTTTTTTTTTTTTTTTTTTTTTTTTGGAGACAGGGTCTTGCTCTGTCACCTAAGCTAGAGAGCAGTGGCGCAATCTCAGCTCATTACAATCTCTGTCTCCTGGATTCAAGCCATTCTCCTGCCTCAGCCTCCTGGGTAGCTGGGACAACAGGCATGCGCCACCATGCCCAGTTAATTTTTATATTTTTAGTAGAGGCGAGGTTTCACCATGTTGGCTAGGCTGGTCTCGAACTCCTGACTTCAGGTGATCCGCCTGCTTTGGCCTGCCAAAGTGTTGGGATTACGGGCGTGAGCCACCGCGCCTGGCCCCAGGCGAGTTTTTTAACAATCTCATGGGAAGCAAGGGAAAGAGGTTTCCAAGCTACTGTGATTCCAGTGGGAAAAAAAAGAGTTTCAGTCTTTGAGGCACGCAGGGTTATTAAATATCTGCTCCACTTCCCAGGTGCTAATGAGCAACAAGATCGCAACCACGAGAAACAAGGCCCAGACTAATCCAGAAGAGCTGCTGAAGGATACAGCCCAGAGCTCCAGCCTCTGCCCATCCATGCTAAGGGCCCATCCGGCTCGAATACTTGATGACCACTGGGTGTCACTCTCAAAAGACCTACAGCTGAGGGAAAGCCCAGGGAGTATGGCTCAACCACTGCTCATCACTACACAAGTCCATCTGGGTAACCTGGAACAATGACAGCGGTCAGAGGTTTTGATCTAATTACACATACGTCAGGTACTGCAAAAGCAGAAGGGGGAAGAAAGAAGGGAAAGCACCAGGCCTCAACTGCCACTTCCTCTTATGCCAGGCTTCTTCCCGGGAACGATAGAGTCACACCTGCACACTGCCCTGATATGTCATTGCGGCAGAACTGAAGACACGTTGCTAATGACACGAATCCCCAGCCCCAGGGAGTCTGTCACTGGCCCCTTGTGCAGAGACCTCTTGGCCCCCAAAAGGAAGACCCACAGCTACTGGGAAAGAGCCCTCTGCGTGCTGAGAGCAGCCTCTGGAGCTGCTCACCCATGTCTGACCCCAAAGTGAGCCTGGAGCCAAGCCCGAGGCAAAGGCAGAGAGGGGGCGCGCCAGGGGACGAGGCCTGCAGCGTAAGAGGCCGCAGGTGGTACCGGGGTGGCTGCAGGAATGGAAGGAAGTGCAGCAGAGCTGACCCGATGGTGTTCTCCTGCTCCAGCCCACTGTGCGGAGAAGACGCCATCTTCGTCTCTGCAGTGTGTGAATTATTGATGAGGTTCAATGTAGCCTTCAGCTCGATCTTCCAGTTGCTCTTCCTGTCTTAAAATGCTGAGACAACATGCAAAGTTCCTGTGACCTCCTCACTTATTCTCCAGCCCAGAAACAATTTACAAGTGGGATGACAGGGAGAGGGGCACATGGAGAAGGACAAGTTCACATCCTTCTGCTCTGAAGGCTTTAAAACACCACAATTTACACAAGTGCCTGTACCTGTAACCCAGGACAGCAGCTGAGATGGAGAAACCCCGCAGAACCACCTTGGAGGAGAAACTGTCTCAGGATTGTGTTCTAATGACTCCTTAGCAGAGTTCACCCAACTCTAATCCCTGCACGTGGCCAAGGGCAGGACGCCTCCTACATCATCATGCCTGGTTGCCTCCTGCTGGAACTGTCACTCTCACTCTGCTAGCAAAGTACACGCTCTCGTGCAAAACAAACCAATGATCGTCAGCCTTGGTTCAAAATGGCTTTTGGAAAGCAATCCATTTTCACTGTAAAATGTTCAGAGAAGTACCTATAATCCTTTGTTTCATATCCAGTACCTCTCATCCTCCCAACAACGCTAAAGGGCAGGTAATATTACTAGTCCCAGTTGACAGGTGGGGAAACTAAGTTTGCCCTGCTCAGGACCACAACAGCCAATGAGCAATAGTCAGCGAAGCACCCAGGATGGGTGGTCCTGGAGTCTGACCCTCACCTACTGTGCACCCTGTAATGACAGCCCAAGTGTCACAGGGCTGGGCACCGGGCCACAGGACAGCCTCATGCATATGCTGGCCTGGGAAAATGCATGTCCGTGATGACGTGCTGGAGCATTTTATTAAACAGAAGAGGTCAAAAGCCAACACTCGATTTGAGCATATAAATGGACTTGAAAGCCAGTGTTTTCAATGACCTGCCATTTCCCCAGGAAAGCTGAGACCCCATAATGGTTGTGTTGTTCAATGCCACTGCCAAGTTTTGCAG